GTCATGTGATGATGCTGGAGGTGGAGCTTCTTCAACTCTTCGGGATTTGACAATCGCTTGTGGATTCTTCCTAGTGCAAGCGGAAGCGTTGTAGGTTCTTCTGAGGATGGTGCGAACGGATCTGGCTCAATGGTCGACCGGCCCTTCTTGTCGATGATCCTGTCTGCTGCCGATCCGGAGCCTGCTTCTTCGTCCTTAAGCGAATTGTCCGCGAAGGTGAAAATGGTCTTACCTATCCACAGGTTAATCATTGGTTTGTTTGCCTGGGATGTAAGTCTCCAATTGTCTTCTAGGATGTCTGGATCTCCATGTTCGGATGCATCAATGATTTCCGTAGTACGTTCTCGGCTTATGTTGTCAGGATTGATTGGACATTCCTTGGCTCCATTCGGTGTGAACAGTGCCTTTCGAGGCGTGATGTGCACACGGATGAGCTGCTTGTTCTTCTTGTCAAGGATCCAATGGTCCTGCTTCTGAGACCCAATGATTTTAGGAGTTGCTAGGTCCTCCTTTGTCTCGGATGATTTTGCTGCACAAACAGTTTTAGTCTTGGAGGTATCCCCGGAGGGAAACTTGATGCTGTTGTCATCATCGTAGACGTAGTTGGTGAGGCCCTTATGAGCAATTTCTCCATGTGCCTTCACTCTTGCAACTCCAGCGAGATCGACGAGCGCATGTCCTGTACCGGATACCGGAACTGCTTGCCGGTTCATGCCAAAAGCCTTGCATGTGATCTTGTCACATTGAGGTGTGTGCTCAATGGTCATGTAGAGGTTCCGCATCTGACTGATGCTGAGGAGGATCGGTACAGTTCCTTGTTCAAGGACGTCGATGTTAGTACTGCATGGAGGTGTTGTGTGATATCGAAGATGCAGGGTCCAATTTACCCTGGCGGTCTCTTCGTTTGCAAAAGTGAACTTGGTCTCGGCCGGAATGTACTGATAGGAGATGATGTCCTTCATTGGTTCGATGGCCTGAGTAAAACGCTGGATTGCATGTCAGCTGCCCATGGATCTGGTACATCCATTGTCCAGGATCGCATAGGTTGGATTGTGCTGAGGGTTGATACTGCATCTGATTGGATCAGCTTCCCGTGGATGGCCTCTTTCTCATGATGCTCATATGCGTCATGGAATGCCATTAGCGCTTGTCCTGTGCTGGATGTCTCATGGGATGAGTACCAGCCTTGTTCGTTCCATGTCCATGGTTGATCCCAATCTTGGTCTGTCCAACCGGCATAGGTAGGCTCTGTGGATGGTGCAGTCTGCTGGATGGCGGGCTGCTCCTCCGTCTTCTCTGCTGTGGCTGCGAACGTCTTGGATTTTCCTTTGTCATGTCCGCCTTTTCCTTTGCCATTCTCATAGGATGGATAACCTTTGTTTCCATCATAGGGATATTGGAATTTTGATTTTCCTTTCTTTCCCTTCTTTCCTTTGCCAATATGCCTGGTCGTAGGGATCATAGTTCTCATTGGCCATATTGGCCTTCCCGCCAGAACCGCTTTTTCTGAAAGGTTTAAAGCCACCTCGTTGGTGACTCAATTGGTGACTGCCCCTTTTGTTTCCTGATTTTCCTTTTCCTTTTCTCTTATTGAATCTGAAATTCCGCCCTGACACTTTTCTTGCGATGAACGCATCGTTCTCCTCGACTCGAGGACCCAGAATGTCTCTTCATCGTTGTTTGACATGAATTTCTTCATCCTCAACCCAAAAGCCTTCTTCTCCTTCAAATTCACCTTGTTCGATGATGAAGAATGTGTTGCTTCGGTTGCCTCCTTGAGGTCGGATGGATGGATCTTGAATGGATGTCCTGGTCGTGATGAAGAGTTCATGGTAGTGTGTCTTCAGCATCTCATAGGAGTAGTTCTCTAGTGAGATGTTTCTCAATGACATTGCACTTGTCAGTCTCTCTCTTTGTTGATCTGACAATTCACTCTGAATGATGAAAACTGTGCAATGAGATTATCCCCGAAGGGAAATGCGTCCCGCTGTCTGTCCTGCATTCCCGTGATGTACTGTGTGAGGACTGTTGGATCTTCCTCATTGAGCAGGACTGGAGGCGGTGCTCGAACACCGGCTGCTTGCTGATGTCGAGCAATTGTTCTTGCATTTGCGTCCTGTACGGACTGTCGAAATGATGGGGACTGTGCCGTGAAAACTGGCATCAAGTCCATCCATGCTGCCTTCAATCTCAGGAGAAGGATTTCGAATTTTGATGTAAAAATGAGGAACTCTTGGTTCTGCCTTCTATGATTGAAGAAACTGAGGAGCCTGTACAGATACACGTTGGTCGCACCTTTCAAAAAGTGCTTCTTCAGCGTGTTCTTGAAGTAGTTGATTCCTTCATCAGGATCTTGCAAGAGGTCATTTTGGAGGACTGCCTTATACATATATGCATCTCCTCTTAGTCTGCTTTTGAGCAGCGGTCCTTTCTTGGGTGCTTCCACCGTGGTGATTGTCACCCAGTCGTCCACGAGTTCTTCATACCTGAACCAGCTGACGTTTGCTTGGCGGTCTTCGATACATTGCGTGTTTCCTCCGTATAGCCTTGTGGTTTGGCCATACTTGAATAGGCTTCCATGAAGCCTTCTCCATCGGATGACATCTTCCCTTGGATCTCTGCAAAAAACCCGCTCCGCTACCACAAATTGAGGCCCACTGCCCCAGGTGCCTATCCCAGAAGGGAACTGGTACCCTGTGGTAGTAGAGGTCGTTGTTTTGGTCCCTGGATCATTCCGGAGAGTCCAATATGCCAATATGGATGATTGGATCTGGTGGCTTGTCTTGACTGATGTCCCTGCTAGCGGTCTCTGCAAGCCTTTGTACTGCTATCGCATGAAGTGCAATACGCTATATACAAGAGGGCCTTGAGCCAAATGGTTGCAGGAGATCAATTGTGTAACAAACCAAACACAGGGGGGGGGGGGCGGGGGAAAAAAGAGGGGGGTGGGTTGGCGGGAACCGGGTTCCACGATTTTATGTTGGTTAAATATGGAACAGAATGATGGGAAGGGCCCTTGCGAGTTTCAACTCAGATCGCTGCAGTGGGGCATTTCCTGCTATTCAGCTTTTGTTTTGAGGGGGTTCCCTTCAAGTTCAGAAAATAGTGGACCGCCTCTCTGAGTTTTTCAAAGGGACACCAAAGGGAAGCCAACGTTTGATTGAGAAGCACCAATTTGAAAACAACCAGCACGGGCCCTAACCACGCCAAAAAACTGCAACCCTGCGACTAAAACGTTGGTTACCACGACATTTTCTTATTTTCACCCCACGACAAAAAAACCGATACCCCGACAGCGATGCTTTCCTCTTCCCCTAGTCTTCTTTCCTCTTCCCGTAGTCTTCTCTTCCCGTAGTCTTCTTTCCTCTTCCCCTAGTCTTCTTTCCTCTTCCCCTAGTCTTCTTTCCTCTTCCCGTAGTCTTCTTTCCTCTTCCCCTAGTCTTCTTTCCTCTTCCCCTAGTCTTCTTTCCTCTTCCCCTAGTCTTCTTTCCAATCCCTCCTGAAAGGGGGCCGCGATGAAGGTTGTCTTGGGGATCCGCTTTTCAAGCTGGAATCCGGCAATCCAGCTCGAAAAGCGGATCCCCAAGAGAATCCGGCATAAAGCGGATCCCCAGCCAATCCCTCCTGAATAGGGGCCGTGATGAAGGTTGTCTTGGGGATCCGCTTTTCGAGCTGGAATCCGGCAATCCAGCTCGAAAAGCGGATCCCCAGCCAATCCCTCCTGAAAGGGGGCCGTGATGAAGGTTCTCGAAGGGATCCGCTTTTCGAGCTGGAATCCGGCATTCCAGCTCGAAAAGCGGATCCCCAGCCAATCCCTCCTGAGGCCCCAAAGCGATTTCTTGTCGTGGGGTGAAAGAACAAAAATTGTCGGGGGGTGGATGGGTTTCTTGTCGGGGGGTGGGTTTTGGGTTTCTTGTCGGGGTTCGGGCGCGCCCTCAAGTTGAAAACAATCCTTAAAGCAACAGGAAGGACATGTTGAGAAGTACGGGTTTCGGGTTTCGTTTCCCTTTAGAGTAGGTACCCGTCAACAAAAGCACAGACCCAAGGGGCGAAGAAAGGGTTATAAGCCTCCTTAGGGGTTAAGGTGGTGCCCACCGTTTTTGATGGGGTTGACCCATCCGCACTTTTTACGGCTAGTAGGTTTTGCAAATGTAAGGCCAGTGGGCCACCAAGGATGTATCCTAGCGGGTTTTGCAAGTTTGGTGGTTCACATCGGTTTCCAGGTGTACCATTGTTGGATTGACTTTGGCGCGTAGTGAAACCTTCAAACCCCAGTGTCTCTATTTTAGGAAACGCCCAGCATCCTTCCCCCAAGTGGGGTGTCGTCATGTACTCGTAATCATATATGATTGTCTCAAAATAGGGAACCGGCCACTTGAAAATCCAATCAGAAGAGGTACCTCAAAAAGACGCCCATATGTGTCCTGGAAGGAAGGTCCTTGTTAGCAAAACACAAGGGTACACCCGCTCTGCCAGCCGAACGAAGAAACTCAAACAAACCAGAAACCTCTCGCGAATTCAGCACCATTCAACACCCGAAGGTTAGGAAGGGACACAGTAGTCCCAACCACATAGGCGTGGATGCTCTGTCAATTCTTTAGGTGTTGGGTAGACCAGGTCAATACCGTAGGTTTTGAGCATGACGCTTCCCAGGATGTGTTTGGTTGTTTCAAAGGGCCTCCGAAGCTCTGGAAGCCACTGTCGGGTTAAGGAAGGGACGCCGCATGGGAAAGCCACCCGTATTTGGTTCGTGTACCCGTACCCCATTTTCCTCTGTTCAGACACACATGTACGGGTGCGTCTTTTTTGAGGGAACTCCTTGTTGGTTGGATGTAAGAGGACGTCAAAAGGGAAAACCATCACTTGAAGGGGCCCGTAAAAAGGACGCACCCGTATTTGTCTGGGAGTTCTTTTGAGGGCACCCTTTCCCGGTTTTTGATTCGGTCACCCACAAGGCCATCCGAACGGGGTACGGGTAGGGTCGCTATCTGCCTGCGAAGGCCTGCTGAAGGAATCGGACGGCAAGGGCCTTTCCGCTTTGCTGCAGCACGAGAAGGTCCACGAGCCGGAGTTCCTGTGGAAGACCCCCTGGCGAAATGATAGGGTGTTTTTTGGTTTTTCAGGGTGGTTTTGACGGTAGAATGGGTGTTTCTGTGGTCAGGAGTGTGTTTTGTGGGTAGTGTGTAGCCGACATGGCTATGGCTTGTCAAGATGGGGAAAAGCCCCCAAACAAAACGCGCTTCCCTTTAAACCACCCCCAAAAGAGGACACACACAAATTTTGAATTGTATTTGGAGAGATTGGTGGACATGGTTAGGTCAGGTGTATGAAATATGCTGTTGAGATGGAGCCCCTTTTAAAACGAATTTAAGCCGACACCATGCAAGAAGCGCCGCGCGCCCATGTTTTACACAGACATAAAATGATGTCTTTGCTCAAAATCGATTCCTCTTGGCCATTTTGGTATGTGGTTCCTGCCTGTAGGGGATACAAGGCCTACATAAGCCTTAAGCATGTTTGTCACCAATAGTGTTTTTTCCCCCCCCCCCCCCCGAGCGCTCAAGAACGAGGCCTGGTTTACTTCTCTCTTCTTCCTTTTGTTGGAGTTGCTACCGAACACCTTCACATGACTGTTTGGAAACGGGGTAACACCCTCCAAAAGGAGATTGCCCCAGTTTGAGAGATAGCCAAAGTGCTTCTTGTCGACATACAGTAATTTCCCAGAACCATGTTCGCATACATATTGATTCATATTAAACCATATCGGAACATATTTCCCAATTTAATCATATGCCCCTAGGCAAATCAACAGAACAGACAAGACACTCCACCCCCAAATCCAGTTGCCTCGTTCAACCATATTCAACCATATTCATGTTTCCGCACTCAACCATATTCCAACATATTCCCGTTTTTGAACCACACAGCAAAAAGAAAAGCAGCCTAAGGAACGCCTTTCGTCTTTTGCAGCTGCACCGCTACCACCTGGCAGCGGGCCTTTTTCTGCTCAGCGGCTCCGTGGAGGACTGACGAAACACGACTGACGCGACATGTGACGCGACGCTTTGGGCATCTGAGGCGGACAACCCCACTATATGGGAGTTTAGCAAAATGGAAGACCACTTTTTGCCATTTGGCTGGTATTGAAAGGGCAACCAAAAGGAAAACAACCAGGGTTTTGGACCGGTTCCTATTTTGAGAACCCCACCCTGCTCTGAGATGAGCCGATTTGCAGAATTTCCCATTGCTGCAATCTAAAACCTTGGTTGATTCTCTGCTGAGAACCAGCAAGACCCATAAGCCGTGGATACCAAAAAAGCAGCTGTGGGGGGGAAGACTCGAGTTGACCAAAACTTGGCATCGGCGAGTTTGGGGCATTTGTGATTGGACAAAAGAAGCATCTGTTGGTGATTCAGCGTGGGAGTTCATCCATCCCACGTGCAGGATTTTGTCCCTCCACAGCAGTTGTTCCGATTTCCTGTTTTGGAGGCATCCCTTAAAACCTACCCGCTTGGGCCCTCAACTATTGGAGGGTCCATTGTTGCTTAGTTTTAAGTTCTGAACATGGGTGCCATCCCGCTCATTTTCCCATCCGCTGGATCTGAGCAGCAGACAACCTTTGACCCAGCGGTTGAAAAGGATCAGGGCCTTCTTTTGACCGCAGTTCTGCATAAGCACCTGATTTGTTCTTGTCAGCTCAAAACGGACTAAACACCCCGGACAACCCCCCCCCGACAACCTCCGGATTTCTTTGGTTGTTAGAGGAAGGGTATGGCATAACATTGATTATTTTGAAATTTATCGCGCTCATGAACTCGATGTTGCGCTAATATTGTCAAGGACGACACGATCGATAATGTGATTCAGATTGATGAAGTTGAGTTGTCCCGATTTTCAAGATTGAACAGGTGTTTTCTGTTGGCAAGCTCGCTGTGGGCCTCACATGTGTTGCCCGGATCCTTTAAAGAAAACACAGATGGGCAGTTGCTTCGTTTTCCTGCGGTTTTCCTATCGGCACCAAACTTGCAGCTGTGTGATGATCAGGATTTCAGAGGAACCGTTCCTCAGGCTGTATGCGCAGTCATGTGAGATTCTTTGCAGGCCAATACGAGGGTTTGAAATCTGATTATGTGTTTTTTTGTTTTTTTTATTGTTTCGACCTCTCGGTGCTAGGAAGCCGCCCGGGTCTTGGCAAGCCACGTGAAAGACTTGCAGCTGGTCATCGTGGTGACCCGCAGGCGGGCCCCTTTTGGGCGTCGTTCAACCCGCGCGTGGAGCGTGTGTGGTATAGATTTGTGTTTTCTTGAGGTACTTTCTTGCGATCATTTTGGGGGAGTTGCGCTCCTTATGAATCCGCCAGGTTAGCAAATCCGTCAACACTACGTGTCCTTGTTAGGGGAGTTTGGTTGAACATAGATATGGATTAATTGCTCCGGCTTCTCCTGCATTCTTTTCTATTTTTGAAATAGTTGGAAATATGTGAAAAGGACACTTCAGTGCTGGGATCTTTAAACGTTGTGATGATGTTGAGGCTCATTGGATGTGGACCGGGCGCCGCTTCAATCAGCCCCAGGCAGACAAAAACCAAGCACATACAATGTGTGTGGGTGTCAGAGATGTGTGTGTGTGTGTGTGTGTGTGTCTGTGTCTGTGTCTGTGTCTGTGTCTGTGTCTGTGTGTCTGTGTGTCTGTGTGTCTGTGTGTCTGTGTGTCTGTGTGTCTGTGTGTCTGTGTCTGTGTCTGTGTCTGTGTTTGTGTCTGTGTGCGTTTGTTTGTTTGTTTGTTTGTTTGTTTGTTTGTTTGCTTGTTTGTTTGTTTGATTGTTTGCTTGCTTGCTTGCTTGCTTTTCTTGCTTGCTTGCTTGCTTGCTTGCTTGCTTGCTTGCTTGCTTGCTTGCTTGCTTGCTTGCTTGCTTGCTTGCTTGCTTGCTTGCTTGTTTGATTTGTTTGTTTGTTTGTTTGTTTGTTTGTGCGCGTGTTTGTGCATGTGCATGCATGCGCCCCTAACTATCTTGATACACACACACACACACACACCCAGCTGCTTTTCGAATCGGTCTGTGGCAAACCACTTTGTACCAAATCGTGCTTCCTTTCCGTCGCGAGTCGCTTCCTGAGGGGGAGAACCCTTCAACATGCCACCAAAGGGTGCCTAAGAAACATGTGCATACCCCCCCTTCCTTCTGCCAGGCACCGGGACGTGCTGGCCACGCTTTTGGGCCATCACCTTCAGACCAACGACCCCTGGCGTCGCCTCCTTCTTTCCCATCTCGGGAGCGCGGCGGAAGCGGTAGAGGCAGAGGCCGGACGGGATCGAAATCGAGGGATGTTTTGAAACACATTTTGTGTTTGTCTTCGCTTTCCGCTTCTTGGTGGTTCCCTGCCTTCCCCTTAGGTTTCCAGGGTTTTAGGGTTTAGTGGGGGGTTCTATTCAACCCATTTAACCCACAAGTTAAACTTTTCGCAGGGAACCCAGAATTAGCTTTGCCTGAAACCCAGGTTCATGTTCTTGGGATTAGTTTTTTTCCGACTCACGTGCGACGTGTCGACGAAATCAAAGCAGGTGGCGTCTCAACGGTTGGATTTTTGTTTTCCATGTTGTCCGCGACCTCTGGCGTTTTCAACCACTTTCTTTGTTCTTGTTTGAAAGTTTCCCCAAGCCAACCACCCAGCTTCGGCTTTTTGCATGGCCAAAATGTGGTTAGAGGCACCAGACAACCGGCTTTCCTCTCTCCTTAGCGGCACCTCGAGGAATCCTTGTAGCCTTGATTGGGACATGCTTGCGCAGAGATCCGCTTTTGGGGCCCTGTTGAGATGGCAGGATTACTCGCGTGGATTGCCCTTTTGAGGAAATTTGAGGAGTCTCAAAGGGTGAAAAGTTGGGAGATTGCCAGGATTGCCTGGCGCGAAACCCCTCAAGCCATCCACCTGTGCCTGGCTTCCATTTTCACAGCTCGGTTCTGGCCTTGCCAGACCAGATGTTCCTTTCGGGCACCATTTTACCCATGCCAACTGCGAATTTCACAAGGTGCCAGGGATACATTTCGGCCAGTTAAAGGGTAGACATTGGCTGATTTAGACTTGCAAAGCAAGTGGTGTTGGGGCATATCCTTTGAGGAACCCTGGACGAGTCGGGACACTTCTGTCAGTTTCAGAGTCTGTCTGAGTCGTTCGCTGAGGCTGATGCAGAGATGTTCGACTCGCTGCTCACCTGCGATTCGGACGCAGCTGGTTTGTCCGCCGTCGCAGAGCAACTCAATGGGATGAGTCTGCGACACTAAATCTGGGGTCTTCTCCAAACATGTTTCATTAGGATAAACTAAATATGGGATGCAATCAGAGAATGTGCTTTTTGGAGTACCCCAGATTTGGACCAAGAAATAATGTACTGCCATGAGCACAGTACAGAACTCGGCTAAAGCAAGCCGAGCGTTGAGAAGGATCCAACATTCAAAGCCGTTGGGGCATTTGGGCCCCTTTCCACTTCGCACAGGTCTTGCAATATACGGACTCGTCTTGTAGCATTTAACGAACACATGAATGCTGACTGACCTGCTCGGCAGTGCTCCAAGATTTTTGAAACCGGCCTAATATTTGGCCGCTGTTTCCACTCAGCTCTTCCCTTCGCGCGATTTGCGTCGGTCCGAAGAGGGTCGGTTCATAGTTTTAGTCAGTCCCAGACCTCCAGTGGTGCGTTTGTTTCCCAACATCAAAGACGACAGGGGTGCCTTTGTTTTCACTGGGTAAACCCCTTGACAGTCGAGCCCCCCCAACGGGTGCCCTTTTTCCTTTTTCCTTTTTCCTCATGGCCACTGGGTCTGTGGATAGCGACAGTCCGCCTGGGACAGGCGAGAGCGTGCCTCTGGCTGGCGGAACCGTTGTCACGGAAGCCAACTCGACAAACCTCACTGAAGCCACAGCCAAATCCCGGACAGTAGGGTAGCAAGGGGCAGTCGGCAGAAAATGCTAGACATTGGCGCGGAAATCTTGTTTGATATGTTTTGATCGTGACTCACCGAAGCGAGTTCACCTTTTGACCGGTTGTGTTTTTCCTTGGTCTACTTGGTCACGGGGCCACTCTTCTGCCCGATCTCATGGCAAGATGGCAAGGCCTAGATAAACCCTGTACAGCCATCTTGGTAGTGTTGAAGGGTTTTGGGTGCTGCCCAAGTGAAAAACACGAGCCGCTTCTGAAGAACCGGAGTTGGCATCACCGCGCCCCAACTTCGCGGACTCTCGGATCGCGCCAGCCACCGGTTGACGTCCAAACGTCACGTGGTTCGTTGGCCTTGGCCTCCGGCGTTCGGCAAGTTGCCCAAGGTCAGAATTGGCTGATGGAAAGTTGGGAATCGAAGCCCCTTGAGCCATGGGTGTGTCTTGTTTTAGGAGAACCCCCCCAAACAGAAGTAAAGATGCTATTTCCTTGTGACTACCGAACAAGGGGTACCCTCAAAAAAGGCACGCCCATATATTTCCCTTGGAGGTTTTGAATATCACCTTTTTGGCTGGAAGGAGTTGAGTTTGAGCTGTATTTGCTACCCGGGGACAATTTTAAACAGGGTGTGAACGCATTGCAAGGCCAATTTCTGGATTATCTTTTGACATTCATTGTACATTTTAAGGTTACTTAAGAAGGACACCACACATTTTGTTTTGATGAGGTATATAGGTATACTCGGGGTGCTTTTCAGTGGCAACACAACATGTTTTGGTGCACAGACCCCGAAATTGGAACACGCGCTTCCTCTTGGAAAGGGCTCCTGTGCACCATATTGGGAGGTTGTTTCGCAACAGGGAGATGGGTTTGATTCTTGGGTTAATTGGGCGTTTCTCATGTGCACAAAAATATTATATTTTTCCTGGTCCGAAATCCATGGCCTTTGGCCTCGGGGCTTGCGCTTCCCAGTCCCAATTTCCCATCAGCTTTGCGGCAAGCTGCGACACACGAGAGGGCCAAAGAAAAGCGCGGCCGTGTTTTCGTCGGGTTGGGGCAAAACAAAAACATGGTGAAATCAACATTGACATGGATATTCCTGGGGTCAGTTTTGTTGACTCTTTCTGGTGATCTCAGCCTGGGGTGGTTTCCCTCGTAGCCTTCCACTTAGTAGGTAGCTTTGATAGTGAAATGATGGGGTGGGCCGAACAGCCAAGGTGGCATTCTGCAAAGCGTCATGGACCTCCAAGGGCGGCTATGGGATGGGCTATGCCCTCTTTATCAAACCCTGAATGTAACTCCGCGGTTCCCAGCCATCCCCTTAGGTTTTCAGGCTTTTAGGGTTTAGTTTGGGTTTCCGCTTAACCCAGTAAAAGTTGAATCTTAGCAGGGGATTTGAGGACAGCTTTGGTAGTAATTAAGATGATGGTGATACGGAGAAGCCCTAAAAGGGCCTTGGCTTACCGTAGGCTCCAGCGAACCCCCTATCTTGGAGGTCCATTCTATAATCCTGGAGGTATTTTTTTGGTTGTTCTCCTATGGCTTCATCCCCAGCCTTGAGGTTGCCAACGCATTCTGAGGCATCGAAGATGATGACGACAGCGACAGCGAAGATGAGGAAGAGAAGGCGCGTGGCCCGAAGGTTTCTTTGCCGAACCACCAACCGATTGGTCCAACACCCGAGAAGGAGGCTTGACCGCACCCTTTCCGGCTGTCACACAACCGTACAACTTGTTCAACCTGACGTCGGGACTTTTGCATGGCAGGGTCACATATGCTGTGGCTGGAGAGAATTACACCCCGGCAAACCCCAGCACTGGGTCCACTCTGTTTCCCATGCTGCCCGATGTGCCTAGCACTTGCGGGGACGTGTAAACAGTAGTGGAACAAAAAACCATCACACTCCAAGGTCACAGGATTCAACACCCCCCAACCCCCTCCCCGTACTGGGAGGCGGGTGGGGGGTGTTGGCAAGGCTCCTAGATTTCCCATGTTTCAACGGAAAACCACTGGATGGCATATTCTTGGTTTTGGGTTTGAAGCTTATAGCATTGTTTCTGTATCCAACTACGGCTCTACAATTTTCCCCGCTTCAGGGCGGGTGCTTCAGGCAACTCGTGAGAAGCTGGAGTCCTTGTTCGACTACCTCATTGGAATAAGATGTCTCCCGCTCTCAAATTGAATGGGTCCTTCAAAGTGAACATGGTCCGGGTTCTCAACTTGCTTATAGGAATTGAACTGGGTACCCGTGACCAATGGGGGATGTCACTCCCGAAACTCACTTCCCTAGTTTCAGGGCTTTATGCTTGTTTGGAAGACAATTGTATTGGTAAACAACAAGTTCAGACTCTGTACGCAGGCAGTGTGAGGTTATTTTGGGATCTAATCAAGGGAACCCTTTACAGACCAACAAAAGAATGGGACCTACTATTGAGAACTCGGAGCCACTGAGCATCCCTAGATACATTGTTGTCGTTTTGCTTTTTGGGTCTGGAAGACAATTTTAGTGGCAAACACCAAGCTTAGACTTGTTGGGCCAATCCAATCAGAAAGTGACAAAGAAACAGCGCCAAGAGAATCCATGTCACCCCACCCTCGTTAGGGTCCCAGGAAATTGTCCTTCAGCCTTAGTCAAGTTCCATGTCAACAGAGGGTATTGGCAGTAAGTTCCAACTGCCAGGAGCTAGTGGAGCTGCGGAAGTTCCACTACTTGCCGGAGCCACCCCGCGAGCGGGGCCTCCAATTGATCGGCTGTTTGTTCGCGTTGTTTAATTCGGGAGGGGGGGGTTACCGATCTTGTTGGAGCTGGGGGTATATCCAATTTTGCTTGTCAAGAGGTAGCTACGGAGACACCAGGAGTTCTGCCAGGACATGGTAAGTACATTCATTGCAAAACGGGTTTTGTCACCCGTTTTGCCCTTAAAACCCTTTTGGGTGTTCTCCAACCAACTTTAGCCAGCAACGAGTTTATTTTTGCAGACGCCGGTTCCGTTTGTCCAAGTATTTTGGGTCCCTTTGGTGGCTGGTTCCCATGAACAAGCCGCACTGAATGATTAACTCACCCACAAACTAAGGCTCACACCCAAAGTTCATGTGAGAGAATTAAGTTGACAATACTTTGTCCAGATGCAGTTGAGGCACGGCAGTATTTGTGTAGCAGATATGCCGTCAGTGCTGGTTACCTGCAATAGTGGTAGCACATGCTAGTTCTAAGCCACACCACCCCATTCTGAAGAGCTAAGCCAATTATCCCCCAAAATGGATGCAACAACAATTGCCGTCGAAGCAGTCCACTCAAGCAAGGCTAAAACTCAACTGTTCCCATTCTCTCCCTTTGCCGACTCCCAGCAGCCCACCAGGCATCTCCCAAGCAGGGGCGGTCAGCCTTGCCCTTCTTGTTTTGCCCACATCCATGTCATGAATCATTGCCAAGGCGACACTGACAAACATAAAGCCCGTGGCTTCACGGCAAGCATTGAAGCACCCTCCTGATGGCACCGCGGGCCCCTCAGCAGCCAACCCACCAAAGTGGTGCCCGCGATCCAATTCTCCACAAGCTTCCAATCCACTTCCTCATTCTTTCAATGGGGACCCACGCAGCAGCCCACGCAGCAGTTGTCATCACTTTCGGGAGGAAAGACCGGAAATCCTAGAAAATTGGATGCTTGGAAAGAATGGGTTTTAACCAAAAATATGACCTCATACAATACTTCCCCATTCTTTCCGGTTTTCCAATTTTCACCCAAAACAGATGCAAAAGCGAACAAATATAAACAGGGACACACTGATCTTTGATCGAAAGAACGATGCAGGGGGACAGAATGATGGGGTGGGGAAAGAAGGGAAATAATGATGGTTGTTGGGAAAGAACGATGGTTGGGGAAAGAACGATGGTTGGGAAAAGAACGATGGCCCTGGGGAAAGAACGATGGTTGTAGGGAAAGAACAATGCCCCGGAAAACAGAACGCTGCCAGTAAGATCGATGGCCTGCAGCGGCATGACTTTGGCAGGTCAGGGGAAGGGGTTGTCTAGTCTATTGGCCCTACCCCTAGCCCGCGGGACAACTTTCTGCATGCGTCAGTGCTCGCTGCAGAAAAAATCAAAACTGAGCCGAAACCGGCTGGAAAGACCGATCGTTGCACTGAGTGCGCGTGCGACGAAAGAATGGGGAATCAACCCTTAGACTAGTGGATCCCAGTTGCAAGCCAAAGTCACAAGAGGAAGCCACGCAAAACCTACAAAACTTGGGCCAGCTGTGGCAAAACACCAACTGGGATGTGCTCCGCGTTCAACAGCCCATGAAGAAGGCCATCATATTTTTGGTGTACCCCAGACCTGGACAAGGAGACCAAAGTCCCCCTCCCAAAACGAGCCTTACCTCAGAAGGGGTACTTGGAAGGGGTGTGGAAGAGTTGTTGGAACCTGTCTGGGGGTGGATCCAGACTACCCTTGCAGGCAACTTGGTCACCGGTATGTGGATCCACTAGCAGGGCCAAAGTTTGAGAAGCTCGTGGCACGTCGACACGCAATGCTGCAAGGTCGTGGGAGGATTCGCAGTGACTCGGCCAGAAAAACGTCGACCTATCGCTAGATCCACTTGTTTTTACCACGGTATTGCTCATGCTTGAACACCACTTTTTGTGATACCTAAGGTAATATACAGGGCCAAAGAATTGCATGTTTCTGCAAATCGCTGATTTTATGGCGCCCAACCACCTGGGCAGGTCAGAAATAGCGATTCTGGCAGAAGCATCTCATGGTTTTCCAGATCCGTCGAAGGTTAGTGAAGCATCCTCGAAGGTTAGTGAGTCTCATGGTGTTGCAGATCCTTCTCATAGAATTTGGAGGGGGGCAGCCTATTCAATTTTGTGCCCCCTTCCCCGTTGGCGTTGGCTTGAAGGTGAGGGTGGCACAAGATTGGGTGAAACAAGAAATCCTTGGCGCAGAACAGCAGTGGTGGGAACATGTTTAAACCAACGGTTGGCCCCACTCTGTTTCGGATATTAGCAGCCTGAACTGGGTTTGAAGAGCAATTCGTTAACAGCAGTAAGGAGAGACACCCCCCCCCACCCCGCTACTCTCTCCATAGAATCTGGGGTTCACGATGTGGGTAAGTCTCGACATTCGGGACCCCTTTGGTTGGTCTTTGTCTCCTTGAGAAAAATAACGCATCCACAAAAGTGCGTGCCAACCATGACGCGCACTGTTCCCATACCTTGTCATGCCTGGTCTTTGGTGTGACCTTAGCCCCGTAGACCTTTTGGAAACAATGGCTTCCATTCAATCTTCAAAAAGTGATCGACCTGTTGGTCGTGCGGACGGCTTGAAGCAACCCAGTAGCCTCTTCTCAACAATCATGGAAGTGGAGTTGTTGTTTGGACTCTGCCACGACACAAGAGGGTCTTCCAAAAACCCTTCTGTGAGTTTGCATGATTGTTGGAGAGAGGATGCACTATAGTGGGTAACCAGTTTTTGACGTTGTGTGGTAGCCGTGGCTCTCAATTGGTGGTATACTAGTTGGAAACCATGGTTACTCGTACCGTGATTTTGCTTGATCTACCAGCCTTTTCATGATGGTTTCCCATGGATATAAGTTTCTTTCGGGCCTCGCTCAACTCGGATCTGGATCTCAGGAGCTTCATCCTTGTATCTCTGTCGCCCCTTATCCCTGGTGTGTGTGTGTGTGTGTGCGTTGTTTTCTTTGTTGCCGACCCTTTCTCGACGGGAAGCCGAAACCGGGAACGCAGCAATTCCTCCCCCCCCCCCCCGGGTCACTCGCACCGAGGCTGCACTTCATGCCGCGTGGCTACGGGCATCGCATGGCACGGGGCTCTAGGGTCAAGAAATGTGTGCCGATCCCCGAAAAGGAGCTGGCGAAGTGGGCTTGCGGCTTGGCTAACTCGATCACTTCTGGTGGGAAACTCGTACCGTGTAGAAGAGAACTTTGAGGATGACCTAGAATGCTCGGAGAACTGTCCAAGACTTGGCTTCAGACCAACCCACAACTCCTGATCAGACCCAGTTAGTCAAAGGGTCCCTTGATCTCGGACCCTGAAGCAGGCTGTTGACTGATCCAGTATTTAACCACAAGGTCCTTGGAAAACGGAGGAACCTTTGATCATGTTCTCAAATCCCCACTTCGTTTACTTTGAAGTCTTGGGAGGGGCATTTAAGTGGTAAACAAGCAGTTTTTTTTTGGGCCAGCCCACAAAATCAAGTCCATTGAGCCAGCTTCTTTGGGCGGCAAGTCGGCAGCCTGGCTTGTTGAAAACATCGACCTGGCCAGTTTAAGCTTCTCTTTCCGGTGTTTGACGTGGAGACCTTGCGGTCAAGTGAGATTGACTTGTAATCCAAAGGGCCATGCACTTGAAGCTCGACATGCATCTTAAACACAACTGTATCAACTGCCGCCTCCCTTCATTCCCTCACTCTCTTCTTTCGCTCGTCCATTCGTTCGTTGTCCCTTTATTCTCGTGGATTTTGTCCGGAGCGTAGGCGATGGGAAAAGACAAAGAGAAAAGAAAGGGACAGAAAAAACGCCCATTCATCTCTCTCATTCTTGTTCCACATCCTAAAGTAATTTGTAGATGACCGAAGGAATGAGTGGGATAGGATGTGGTGAAAAAGATAGAGATGACTGCCCCCTTTACTTCCCGTCTCTTCACTCTATTCATAGCCTGTGAAGTGAGGAACGAGGTGAGACAGGAAATGAAAAAGAGAAAGAGCCATTCCTTATCCACTCCTCGCTTCACAGTGTATCATTTGGAGTGGTAAGGAATGAAGGGAAGGGATCATCTCTCTATCCATCATTACCCACCATATGAACGAATTGACAGGTGGGCGAGTATAATCTTGGAGAGAGAGGACTGGATTTCATGTTGGCATTTCTATTTTATTACGAATTACCGGCCAACATGAATTCCAGGGAAGAAGAATCCTATCTCTTTCACTCCTCTCCAATCCACGCGGTTTAACCGGTGAAGAGAGGAGGAAAGGATGGCCATCTCTTCTCATCTTCTTATCCACTTCCCCAAATCCTAGATTTGGCCGTGTATTAGCGAAGATTCAAGAGTGTACAGGAGATCGATCGACGGACACAGGAAAAAAGCTCCAGACGGTTCCAGATGAGACAAAGAGATGTACAAAACATGAAGAAGGACTCACTCATAAACCGTCTGGAAAGGACGGAGACAGCTATGAAGAAAATATCTCTCTTCTTCATTCTGATGTGTTTCCTTTCTGTTGTCCTTGTCTTTATTAAGGTTTAATTGGGACAACAGGAAAGACTCCAAATGAAACAGACAAGATATTTATGTTTGACACTTCTGTACCTGTTTTCACTATCTATATCTCATGGTCGCTTAACTCAAGAATTACTACGTGAAAAGAGAAGGAAAGACAAGGGACGGTTCAACATCTGGTTATTTCCTAGAGTCGTTTCTCCACCAATTGGTGCCTCTTTTCCGTAAAAAACCTACATCTTATGTCTGTTCTTTTCTTTTTCCTTTCCTAATGCCTTCCAGTCTAACTTTATAGTCTTGAAAATTGGAAGAAACTGGCCCTTCAGTCTGCCGGTTTTCTGTTGCGAGGACCCCCTTCATGTCATGCTGTTTCTGCCAAAGCTGTCGAGCCCTCAAGGTCGCTAGGGTCAATTTCTCAGAAGCAGAGCCCAACCTCTTCAAATCAAGTTGAGGGTTCGTGCTGGTGTCAGGGATTGTTCCTTCAGGATGAAATGGAAACCAACTCCTTGCATTGTGAATCCACCGTTTTGAGTGGTTCCTGTTTTTCGGATGCTCCTCAGGGATATATCTCCGAACATGGCCCAAAGTTAGAACCTCCACAATGGATGGGTTCCTTTAATTTACCTCAGAGGCCCCGCAAAGGGTACCCCCTTAACAAAAAGGAACATCCCGTCAGGTCACCATGGTCCAAACGCGATACCTACTGCAGCGGCCGCCTCAGCTGCCCAGTTTCGCCCATCCATTGCTTAGGTACGGGTCTCCATTTAACCAAGGGTCTTGGGCCACTCGCTTTTTTTTCCCAAGCTTCCCCACAACTCACTCCCTCAATGGACTTGTTACTTTTGGGGTGGGTGAACAAGGCCAATCCATCAGTTGCACTGAGCTGTTGCTCAAGTTGCCGATTTGGTGAATCAATGTAATTCGGCATTTGCCAGGGGTCCCTAATTTTGGCCCTGCTGGTTTTAAGCATCACCTTTCTTTCCCCAGAAGTGAGTTTCCGTTGGCAGGGACGCTGCTTCCAGGTTGGAAATCTAGGGAACTCTGCCTGCACAGGGTAAGGATCAAGCAGTTCAGTTTGGCCATGAGGTGTCTCCATGGTGCAACGTTGTTAGATCTTTTGCAAGTCCCGCGAGACGTGCCACAGGACGTGCCCGGAGGTAGGAGTTCTGGATCCTTTAGATGGGGAAGACAGCGAGTGTGAGGATGGCTATGAAGGGAGCCATGACCGTTGCCTTTGCCGCATGGTATGGCTGGGTTTATTGGGGATATTTGGGGATGGTCCCAGCCAAAACCTCACAACAGAACTGCGCGCAGTTAAGCGCAGCCGCTTCTTAGCTGGTGGTTTGTCATGGGCTCAACTTGGCAACCCAGTTGTGTCAGGCTCCACTGGATTTGTCTTGTTCGCTTCCCAGCTCCGCTTTGACAAAAGCGCCAACTCACGCCACTTTTGCTGCGGGCACCGGTTTTTGTTGGGCCTTTCCTCACAAAACACCGGGTCGTGCTTTTGCAAGGCTTTACCCGTGTTTTTTCAAGAACAGGGCCTTCTCCGCGTCCGCGAGGTCGAGCATTCTGCCGGAGATGCGTTCGGATCTGGAGAAGGATGCCCCGGGCTCAGAGTCCCCGCCTCCCGGCCCTGGCTTTCAGGTAGCCTTCCGTCGATTTAGCATCAGCTTGGTGTTGGCCCAATTTAATGTGAGTTAAGATAAAGGGCAGAATACGTACTAATAGTTTGACCCTATGATCATGACTAAATTTGGCTTTCAAGTACCAGTGGGTCGGATGGGAGCAACACAGCCAACTTATCATGAAATTGGGGTATGTCCCTTGAAGATGTAAGGACACCTCCCTCATTTTACGACCCGTGTTTGGCACAGTCACCCCCTTCAGCTGCAAACCTGAACTTTTGTCTAAGCTCAAGGTCCCTAGGTTTGGGCCGAACCCGTGTCCAATGAGAGCGACCTTGTGAATGAGGGACACCCAAACTGGTCGCTTGCCATTTGGTTTACCTACAGCCGAAATGGGCTTCCCTCCGCCTGGACACGCGGAGATGATCAAGTGAAAGGATCGGCAGTCAGCTATAGATTTGAAGAAGAGAAGCGAGCCAATGTCATGAATCTCTAGGTGGCCCGGTTTTCCGATGTCCTCAGTGAAGGAACAGGTTGACGCTTCGATTCCAACATAGACGCCTGCCACCTTCTGAGCCCACAGTGAACACCAGGAATCGCCAGACTCAGCTTACCATTTCACCGGTTTGCCTTTTGAGTTTCCGTGACTTTCCTTACCAGCACACACGCTTTTCGCAGGGGGTCTGAGTCTGGCCCGGAAATGGATCGCTGGTTGTATTACCTCACCTGCGTCGCAAGGGGTGTCTTTGAAGACCTGCGGCCAACCCACGAACCAACTCCGACACGGATCGTCTAGCAAAACCAGACGCGTAGTCTCCACTACCAATTCCCAAGCCCACCAAAAGGAAGCCAAAGGAAGCCAAATGGAAGCCAATGGTTGAACCAAACAGGGATCCCAAACTATCCCAAACTCCAAACCTTCCAGGTGACCCACAATTGGCACCCTACCTCTGTGAGACCTTCCTCTTCCCCCTTCCCAGCGAGGCGCTGAGCCGGGAGTGGCAGGACACTCTGCCGGTGGAGGTGAAGCCCTTGACCGGGCGCTCCATCTGCTCCTTCGAGGCCTCGAGAGTTCGATTTCGAGGGTTTTTGTTGGGACATCGGTTGAGGACCCGCCAACACCCCTTCTCCCTTGAGGTTTGGGGGGGGCGCGGGGGGTGGGGCAGTTTTTCAAAAGCCTTGATACCCTGCAAAGAAGTGAAGGAAGATAAAGAAACCTGAAAAGGCACGGAACGCCAAAGGAGTTGCTGCGAAGGATGGCTCCCAGGGTTCCACGTAAATCTGCAGGGGAGTATTAGCCAAACATACATTGACATATGGCGGGGTTCCACGTTTGGGACCCTCGGATCCATTTGTGCATTTGAAGGTCTGGATTAGACAGTCCAGTGCTTCCAGGCAAACCATCATTGTGATGATAAGAGGGAACCGTGGCACGAAACCAAGACGTACCTGGCTACCCACTGCAGTGGTAACCGGAAGCACTCATCATTCTCTTCAGAAGCCCCACTTCCTCCCAGCATGTTTGACCGACCCTTCACTTCCGAGAAGGATCTGTGAACAGGACCAGTCATCAGTATGTATCTGTCAAAAGAAGGGGACCCAAAAAAAATGGCAACGCCATTCTGGCTGTCCATTTGGTTTCCCTTCTACCAGCCCTGGCTGCTTCAAATGACACACACACACGCCCCCCCCACCCACCCACCCACCCACCCACCCACCCACCCACCCACCCACGCACGCACGCACGCACGCACGCACCCACCCACCCACCCACCCACCCACCCACCACCCACACCACACACACACACACACACCCACACACACACACACACACACACACACACACACACACACACACACACACACACACACACACACACACACACACACACACACACACACACACACACACACACACACGCCCTCTAGCGGATTGATTCGATCCAGTTGCCCACTGCGGCTGGGCTGCTGGATGGGGGCGTCTATGTCTTCCAGGCCTCCGAGTGCAAGCCGGGGATTCCGTTTTTTGTTGGTTTGGGTTTAGTAATTTGCCCAGAGTCAGACCAGGGAATTTAAATGTCAGAAGTTTAATTGGAACCATGACCCACATCTGTTAACCATGTCATATATGCGAGTTTGCCTTATGAGGGTGCCCCAGGGCAGCTTTCTAACTGCGGCTGGAGTTCGGTTGATGTTTTGCCCTTGCCAAAGGGTTGCCTGAGGTGCCACCTCCTGTTTGGTACCATTTTGGTGGGCCCTTCATGGAAGCCCTCTTTTGTTGGCGGGAAAACAGGCCCAAACCTCATCTTAAGCGGTCATGGAGACTCCAGGTAGGCTCTGAGTGAATTTATATGCGTTAGCAGCCGCGGTTTAATCGCTGAATGCTGACTCTTTGGCTGGCATGGTTGTATTCTGCTATGGCTTACTCATCGCTGTTGGAGATGCGTGCGTTTCAGCGGGTACATGTTGACTTAAAAGTGATTCACAGACCCTCGAGCCATTTGTGAGATGTCCGGTGCAAGTGGTGATGTTCAAGTTGGTTTCTTGACAGTAATTTAACGTACCTGCCAAGTGGTAGCAGCCCTGCTCTGTATGTACTCGGACCCTTGTTGTTTTGGCGTGTTTGTGCGAAAAGCAGCGTAGTTCATGGAGGCTCGCGAGACTGGAATTTGTGACAAACGTCTAGACATGACCAAGGACAAGCACCGTGAAATTCTAAGAAACACCATACACTTCCAGTACTGCACACATGAAACCTCTCCACTGTGTGCCGTGTTCAGTCTGATGTGCATGACTAGTCGCTGATGTTACAGTATTTTCATTGCTCCTCTGTGTGAAATCCTTTTGGAAGATTAAGCAATTGATTTGCTTTCTACTGTCTGATTTCATAGAATTCGGTTGCAGGAATTTGGACAGGACATTTGCCACATTTCCACAACACTATTTGTGTAGCTGCGTTTCTGAGATGATTTCCTCAGCTCGGGTGACCTGACGACTTAAAATAATAATAAAAAAAAAAAAAAACATCCGAGAGGTGCGCGTGGGCAATGGCAAGAGCTGGTCTGAGTGGTCGCACACCTCGAAGGCCTTCCTTTTCCAGGCTCGTCTTGGGGCGGAACGGGGGCGGGGCTTGCAACCCGTTTTGTGGGGTTAGAGAGCGAAGGACCCCAACAGCTTGATTGTTTCTTTCTTTTCTTTCCCAGGCCAATGTTGAAACAATGCCATCATGTCCAGAATCCTCAAGGGACTCATCTGAACAAAAATCCACCGGGAACGTTTTGAAGGTGTTTGAGCACCTTTAAAGTGGCCCCAGACCTCCAGTGAAGCATTTCCTGAACTCTTTGCATTTTGGAGAGGATTGACCTTCAAAACAAACTACCAAAAAAGATGCCCTGTTTCCCCATTGCCACTGGAGCTCTGGGACCCAGAAGAAGTCTTTCCCACGAGCAAGTAGCGGATCCGACTTGGATTTTGACGAGACCATTGGGGCTCGACCGAAACCAACCCAGAAATGGTAGCCGCAACAAACACCAGTACGGTGCCCTTTATGGGTGGGTTTCAACGGAAGTCTACAGGAAAACCACCTTTCGGGGTCCAAATTCCTAATTTCGACACCCTTTTAATGAACCTTAAAATGAGATCCGATCCGGGCTTGCAATGGATCTACAAGGAGCCGAAGGGTAGTCTACCTTGAGGTCTTCAATGGCCTTAAAATGTTTATGTCATTAAAACCGCAACACACCACCTTGAGGTTTAGGTCTACTGTTGGTCCACCTTGGTACCTCAACGTGTCCTCCTATGGCGCCAGCACTCTTCAGGTGCCTCCTCCGGCGCCGCCCACGGCGGCCTCTCTCAAGGCCCAGCGAACGGTGAACGTGGAGGCGGGGAGTTAGCGCGGGGTTCCTTCAACGGGGATCGGTTTAGGGCAAAACCAATTGACATGTTGTGATTTTGAATCCGATTTAAAGTTTAAAGACACACCTGGAAACATCACCCCAAGCGGAAACTCGCAGCTCCAGTTGTCCCAAACGTGACGTTTAAACCACGGGGAATTTATTCTAAAGGATACATCCAAAAACCATTTGCTTCACAAGGATTTGGATCTGGCTGTGGCTCAAAATTAAACAGGAGGGGTTACGCAGGTTTTGGTCCATGTTTCTACTTGCCAGGGTTCCATTTTGGTACCGGTTTTTTGAGCCGCAGCCATCTGAAACTAGTGGATTCCAATGTTCAACCAAACTCTGCTCCAAGTGCTCTCTCTTTTCATGTTGTTTTGAAACCGAAGGGAGCCTGACGCTCATGGGGCCTCCCACCAATTGAAACAGATGCGCACCTTCCCATGCAACATGGAAGCCATTTTGGAGGAAAATCGGGATCCTTCGGCCTCCATTTGTCAGGCTCCACAAGGACGTAGCTACCGTTTTGTTTAGCTGAAAGCTTTGGGGGGGTTCCGGGCTAGGGGTCCGGAAGGCTTCAAAAAGTGCTGGATACCATCGCTTCTGCAAACGTTCCCCGAACCGAGGTGATTTCCGCCACAGCGGCGCGAGTGCCGGGCACCCCAGAGGTTTGAAAAGGAGCCATGGTGTCGTGTGGGGCCCATGTCAGCCCTCAGGGATTTTGATACTATTTTACTCAGTTGCCAGAGCGAATCGACCTTTTCACCAGTTGGTTTCCCAATTTGGCAAGTCATAGCGCCAGATGGTTCACCTTTTTTTTTGGGTCCTTTGGGCGACTGAGTATAAGGATTCCTTCAGGAACACGTGTATAGTTGATCGGCAATCAAAGGGACGGCTCTATGAATTCTTCGCTTTTTGGGTACACCATTTTAGTACCAGGGGTTGATTGTGGGACGATGGCATGCGCACCGTTGCTCGGAGTATAAGACCTAGCCGGAATAACCAAGTTCGGGTGCATGAATTACCCGCGGATACCACCGGGACAGCTGAAGCCGTCCGGTGGAAACCTCATATGGTCTAACATAGATCCTAATATTTTCCCTTGTAGTGTCAATCATTTCTCCTGTTGGGCCTTTTTAAAGTTAGATTTTAAATTGATATTAGTTTCCTTGTGGGCTGATGTTCAAAGGAAACTGAGTTTTGGGATGGGGGGGAATTCGATGCCTCCATCCAACTTTTGAGAAGCTTCGAGAAGACATGCCGTCAAAGACCTGCTTACTTCGGGTTGGCAACCAAAATACCAAGAATAACTGCAAGACAAAGGAAAACACGGTAAAGCCATACTAACAATAATAGTGACAATGATAATATGCCCCTCATGCGGGTACCCTTTGTCCAAGATTCATGGAATCATGGATCTGGACCTTTCGCGCCTTTTGAAGAGGCTGGTAGGCCAAAGCCTGCGATCATCCACCTTGATTGGAAAGAAGGGAGGAACAATCACGAATCACGAAGGCTATCTCCCGGTAGCCCCCGAATGAAGCAAGTCAGGGCCATCCGAGCAGATCCGCCAGGGTGTGGGGGGACTTCAAGCCTGCGCCGGGGCTTGCAATGTTGGAGTACGAGGCAACGAACAGAATGGGGGGTTGGAAGTTGCTCGGGGCGAGTCGGTTTTGGTTCCAGTGTGTAGCCCTTTGTTTCTGTTGAAAGAGCAAGAACGCCGCCAGTGTGTTTGGGGATGGTTGCTCTTCCGAACTTGGTTGCTTTACTTGAAAGTTCTCACCAACAATTTGTCGGACTTTGGTGATCTTTTGTACCTTCATCCTTATGAGCCAAACAGTCGCCAGTATGCTGTTCTGTTCGACCAACCCGACCTGAAAGAAGCGCCATGATTTGCAAAACAAAAGAACCACTGTCCCATAGGGCGTGGCCAAAGGTGAGGGATGCGGGACCACCGCAGTGATCAACCATTTGCGCCATTTTATGGGCGAGTTCACCCGGGGATACCGTGATGTAGGTCCTTTACATGGGATCCTTTCGTGTCTTTTCCTGAGCTCAGCCGAAGGTGGGGCGCTTGCTGTTCAGTTCCCCCAGGGGTGTGTTCGTCACATATCAACGCCAGAAGTTGCGACATGTAAGTATTTTGTCGCAATGCTCTTTTGGAACATCAAGGACACCAAACTTTCAACCCGTGGAGTCTGCTTGGCTGCCTGGAGATTTGCTTTCTGGAGCTACTCGCGGCAACACCAGCTTTACCCGCGCTGATTCGGCTCCTTTGCTATTCTGGGTGACTCAGCTGCTCTGTGCAACCTTAGCGACAGATGCGTCTCATCAAACCAGCTGCCAGGGGGATATGCCAGCCTTTTGTTTGGCGGTTGCTTCAGAATCAATCAACAACAACCAAGGTGTCCTTTTTCTCCTTGGTTGACGCGTTGTTTCTGCGTTGCTCTTTCAAATCAGGAATCGTGGGTGCTAAATTGCCCGTTTTTGTTCATTTTCCAAGAGGAAGCCCAGTTGGTCAGTGACACCTGTTTTCCTATGCTTTGTGATGTCCCTTCCCAGCATCCCCCGGCGAATTGTCACCCCCAGCCAGCATTTTGCCCACCCCCCCTCATGGCGCGATCCAAAACTGTTTCCTTGAAAGGAACCCGTCGGGTTCCGGGGGTGGGTGCGAGCTATCCAAAGCTCTCATGAAATCTAGCAGATTCTTCAACCGGATGTTGGAAATTATTCAATCATTTTCTCCTGGAAGGAACTTATTCCACCAGACAATGTCCTGCTACCTACTGGAGGGAGGTTCTTCAACCAGCTTTCCTACTTGAAGGATTTGTTTGAATTATGTTTTTTCCACAAGGATGGCTGGTATTCAACCAAACCACTCTTTGCAAGCAGGTTATCCGACCAGGTGGTTCAATGATTTCTTCCACGTATCCGTTATGAACCCCAAAGCAGACATGTGACACACTTAAGCCTTGTGTTCTCATGTTCACCTTATTTGCTTTTGTTTTGGCTTGTTTTTGCCTTAGAACAAACAAGCTCCTTCTGGCCAAGGAAGCATAAGTCATGTTGCAAAATTTAAAATGGGGAACGCTGTTTCGCATGGTTGGTGGACGGACAGCCTGTAAATCAGCATTGCCCACAGGGTCCCAACGAGCCATGGTCAACAGAGTAATCAACCCCATTGACAGCGGTTTGAGACCAGTATACAGCTTCCCTTTCAACAGGAACCATGCCCATGCGACATGTCCAGGTATTCTCAATGAAAGTCGAGTGAGCCCCCCAGTTTTCCTTGGGCTTCCCTTTGGATCTTTTAGGCACTTGTTTCCCTTTGTTTTGCTTTGGGCCTTCATTTTCATTCAGGGAAACCCACCATAAAAGACAGCTTGGAACAGGGACATGGCTCGGGAAACTGCAAGTTGCTAATATTTGGATGACTCGCGGACAGTTTGGATCCGTTGTGTTGGATCTCGAGATCACCTGACTCGACTCGCAGAGTGGGAGAGTCGGAGAGTCGGATAGGTCCGCGCCACACCAGAGAAGGGCGCCGCCGGCTCCAAGGACAGTTTGATCAACCACTCTGTGAGTAGAAAGTTGTTTGTTTTGAGGCTTCCCTTTCTGAGAAGGAAGGCCACCATTGTTGGGGGTTCCCCTATTTTGAGACGAACCCAAAGGATATACATATATATATATATATATACAGATGTCTTTTAAGGGTCCTTTTTCAGGTTTGGAAGCCAACAGGCAAGCCACCAGTTAGGCGAACTCACTCCCCCAAAACGACCAAAACTGACCTCGCAGCTGCCCAGTTTTGCCCATGTTTGGCGAAGTAGCAGCCAAGCAAATATTGTTAGTTCCCTTGTCACGGATCATCCCATAATTTGCGCGCCAAACACAGCATCCCATTTCCCTGCACCTGCCTCCATTCTGTACGCGGCAGGCTTTTTCCATGTGCAAGTAAGAATAGACCTGCACACTCCTGTGCACCCCAAAAACCACGCCTCTTGAGAACAGCCAGGACAACAAATAACTTAAGACCCAAGTAGCACCTTCCGGGTAATTTGGGGATTCTCGTGGCCTTTCCATGGGTGTGGTGGGCAAGATGCGCAGGTCTTGGCCTTGTTTTTCTTTGTTTGTTTCTCTTTCAAGTAAACCAACAAAAGGGGGCTTGCCGGGTCAAAACGGCAGGGGGTAGCCTTGGGGGTTGGAGGGTTCTGAGTTGGGAGGAAGGTTAGCCCTTCACGGATCCTTCATGACATTGTTGTTATGTTGCCACATCGAGGAATCAGACCTCTGAAATTCCATCCTTGCGCTTTCTCTTGGAGACCTTTGCTTTTGAGTCAACCCCAAAAGGACGCCATGTTTCTCCCATGGAAAGTGAACCCTGGTCCGCGGGGTTCCCCAGATTGTTCTTTAGGGGTGACCAGAAGCTTGGGATTGGTTGAATCGAATTGCTCCCGTTTCGATGATCCCTATTGTGGGTTTCAAGAAAGAACACAGCTACGATAGTTGGGATTGAAGTAGGGGCGCAGTTGCACCGGCGCTCTTCGCGGGTTGCTCCAAGCTTGCTTCAATGGCCACGAGCTTCTATAGTTTGAAGAGGATAAGGCAAATTGGCAGGCATAGGTTCGGGTGAATGTACGTAAGCACTTGTTTTTTCTTCTTTTTTTTTCGTCTTTTTTTTCAGTTATATCTATCCCTCGGTTTTCGGCGCGTCAAGTACATGGGACCCCCTAAGCTTCTAGTCTAAACTAAGAGGGAAGCTGATACAGGAAAATTGTCCAAAGAAACGGTTCGCTTCGCCCGCAGAGATGAACATGTGTGAAAACGGGAATTTGGACTGCACATGCCTTTCAGTTCTGCTTTTGGATTCCCTAAAAAGTCAAAAGGGCAACCTAGGTTGGCCTTCGAGGTCTTTCTATGCACCTTCACAGGGATGGAAGGCCGCAGGCCAAAGGCCCTACTCTGAAGCTTCTTAAGCTGACTTGGCAGACTCAACTTACTTTTTTTAACCTTTTGCTTTTTCCCCCCACCCGACATGTTTGGGGCTGTCAGGCTTTCAGTGACATCTGAACGGCTCACCCGCTGGTCCACCCGCACGTCCGCCCGTCCACCCGCCTGTGACAGACGGCAGTGTGTGACAGACAGGAACTGACCCAGTTGTGACAGTCCGCGGCTCCCGCCAGTGGCCGGCCAACAGCAGTGGGGCCGAAAGCTGAGGCTCACGCCATGACAGGCCGAAGTGACAGGCCGAAACTTGATCGTGACAGACAGCTGTGATGCCCGAAGCCAAGCATTTTTTTGTCGCCAAGCTGGAATCGCCAGCGGCCGCGTAGTCCCAAGTCATGACCAAAGCGCTGAAGTTTTGTTTCCTCTGCTGTTGCGCGCTGCTGCGGGAGACGCCGCTGTTCTAGTTTGGCGCTGGCGCGCGTGGCTTTGCTGCGCTTTGCAGTTGCTCAGAATTCGCGCTTTATTGACACTTTGCGTCGTGCTCTCTATATCCGTTTTCTATCCGCTTTCTGCGAAACATGCTCCGGAGAAGTCGGCGGCTTGGCCATTCGTGCGGGTGCCGCAAGGCCTTTCCCCCGCACTGGGTGACCTTCGAGCACCGTTATAGAGGTGGAGCGGCCCTCAGATGCGATACGCACGGGGAAGGGATGGCTGCGTGGTGTTGTCAGGGTTCAATGCAAAGATGAAGCAGGACGCCGTGACAACCCTCAAAGGTGCTACTCGTATGCAGAGGCTGGGGCCCGGCGTGGGTTGCAACCCAAAGTGTCCATGCGGGCTTACGATTCCGGCGCCGGCCGGTCATGCCTTGCTTTTAACGCAAGCAAGCTTGTGTTGTCAGCTCAGTGCAAGCCAACATGGTCGTTGCACAGCTTTGGTGCTGATTGTTGTGTACAGCTCTTCTGGGTTTTTGATTTGTCAAAACATGCATACTTCAGGTTGAGAATGATGCTGATCATAGCAACATCGCGCGCCATCAGCGCTTTTGATTCGGCTTGTGTTGGAGCGTTGCCAACGAAGATTTGTTCGATGGATGTGCCAGAGTTTCCGTTGTCTGCTCCAATGCGGGAAATTAGCATTGCTGCGGGTGGATGGCACATGAGGTTTCATCGAGCATGAGCTCTTCAACCTGCTTCCCTTCACATACTACAGCTTCTCCGTGCAGGTCCGGGGCGCATGTTTTGGCTGTGTCACCCATAGCGGCACAGCACAATTCAGCCCATGGATGGCCGGCCACCCCCAAGTAAGGAAAACAAAACATCAGGTGCCTTATATGGACGCCTCCTTGTTGAAACGCGCAACCCATGCCCTTTCCACCCTGTTTGAATCATTGGGACGCCTGAGACGTCGACCTCATTGGGGGAGCTCCCGAACTCAAATGTCGTGCATGTGTAATGTCTGTCTGCGTCACTGCAACTTCTCCGTTCCCCTGGTTGTCCACTGGGTTGGCGTGTGAAATCATCCAGGCAAAGCAAAGTAACTGGATATATCCAAAGCAGGGCAGCATGCTGTGATATCACGTCTTTTGATTCTCAGTTGTTCATAGCCAACCTTTGGACCCTTTGAGCCTCCGCGTTGCTCTCTGGTGCGATTTCTCGCAGGCCGAGGGACAAATGGAGTCTTAACATGGCGAATCCCCTCACTGGCATGTCAATGGGAATCGAATGGCAGCAATGTCAACCAACCATTAGGAGGACGAACACCCATTTGCCCAAGATCACCACAAGGCGATGTCCTGACCAAACGCGCGAAATGAGCTCACCTACGGGTAGAACGATTTTTCCTGAAGTTTCTTTGGGGTTGCGCGATTCATGTGATACATTTCCATAATATAAACAGCAACTTGGCGAGATTAGAGCGCATCTATTAAGAAACATAATTCACAAGCCATGTGAAGCCAGTACACCAACTACAAACCAGCTCTCCTTCAAATTAGACTCATAAACGGTGTTTCCCAAAAACCAGATTCCTCTAAAACTGTGAATCTGCAGGGGGGAACGAGTCCTGAATACCTATCTTCTGCATCCCAGGCGCGCTACCCCAAGGTGGGCACTCGTGCGTGGTGGGCGCCTGAGCGAAGGGCAACCCAGATGGATCTCGGCTGTCCAAAAACGGATTCCCAGAAAAAACAACTAACCGGGATACCTTCAAAAACACACCCAGATTTGGTGGTTGCTAGCGGGCGGTGTCCCTTGTGAACGGGGGTGTAACCCCAAACAGCACAAACACGCAGAAGCTGGGTGCTAAATAGCTTGCAAGAGATGGGTGCATTGTTAATTTGGCCAGAACCCCTATTTAACATCTAGTGAGGCAGAGTTAGCGATGAGGTGCTGATACAGTCACACGCCCCTAGCCCCAACGCACCGTTTTGGGGAAGACTCAAATAGACCAACACTGGAGGTGTATTGAGGTGTGTTTGGGTGGTAGCAATTTATGTTACAAGGTTGGCAGCTAAATTTGGTTGGATTCCTTTAGCTTCTTTGCCTTTGCCAGGGCCAAGTTTCCTGTTTCGACTTGTGTTGCCCATCTACTCAGGAGTCAGGTACAAAACAGTGGTTGTTCATTTCCCTTAAATCTCATATTTGCAAGCTCACTACAAATTGGACACGAGGTTGGGTCAAGAAGTCTGTGTTGCTTTTTGGAGAGACATGGAGGATCATGGGACGAGCTCTAAATTTCCCAAGCAAAACCATGCATTTTTTTTGGGGGGGGGGGAAGCGTTTGTCATTTTCACTGTGGCTCACATCTTTGGAGCTCAGACCTCCGAGGGCCGGGCAGCAGCTGTCGGAGCCGGTAATCCTGGAGCGTACCGTGGCGTACCAGGCGGCAGTCTGAGTTTTCCGAACAGCTCGGCATGGATGGGACGCGTGGGCCGGCCTTTGACGAACCCAGGGTCCTTTTGGCGCAAATAGCTTCCCTTTCCCTGTCGCAACCAGTGCCCGGGTGTCATTTCTTGTGGGGGTTGGCCATCTGTATTTCGTAGGTTACCAAAGGGGAATTGGATGTCTGCCATTTCAGCAGGTTGACTGAGAGACCTTGACAACCTTCGGTTGGCCATCTGTGTGGAAGCAACACCCGTGATTTGTCGCAGACTCACTAGCCTAGACTGTTCCCAAGCTTCATGATGGGAAATTGAGCATCACCATCTCCCAAGGCCAAGTAAGGCAGTTCTCCCTGGTTCATGAGGGTTATATCAAGGCCGTAAGGCCTACACAAACCTCCACAACTGTGTTGGTAGAACCAAAGGCCAGTGGGGCCAATGGGTGTTGGTCGGATGAAGTAGTTATGGGAATGGGAATCCACTTGATATCACCCCGAAAGGGGCAGCCATTTCACAAAACCGCGGACCTATTTTAGACACTGACGCAGTCTATTGTTAGTTTGAGGAGGCCGAGAAGGGGATAAGCCCCCCCCCAATCACAGTAAAGAAGGGCCACCCTGCCAGCCCCCATTTTGTTCATGCCCTTTAAAGTGACCAATTAGTCATGGGGATGGACACACCCTCGACTTGCTACTACATCTAGGCATAAATGGACAAAATCCACGTCGCAGAAGTTGGTTGGCGAAGCACATCCTGAGTGGTGCGAAGGGATTTTCGTTCACGGAAGCCTACGACTTGTATCATGGGCATATGGCTTGGAAAACCTCCATTTTCGGCCGGGTCGCCGCGGTCCTTCCCCTCCCCCGGTTTCCTAGCTGCATCCATATCAGGCTCATTTCAGCCGTTCACACAGTGTATCGTGAGTTGGGCACAGATTCGGTCACATTTACCAGTCTGTGCTCCTTTTGGTTTCCACCAAGGAACTCATCTTGGTCTTTCATCTGGGGAAACAAGCGTGGCTAGGCATCCTAAACCCAGAGGCTCCCTCGTTTCCAGAGCCTCAGGACCCCCCCACGCCGCTGCCGGTGCCGGGGCCGGCAGAGGAGCCGGCGAATCGGAAGGGACTGAAAGAAACCGAAACCTCTTTTCCCCTACAAAAGGACACCAAGGGCAAAGTAGGGTCTTTTCACCAACCCAGTTCACCCGGGTCTTTGGAAGGGATGGGCTGGGTTTTGCTTCTGCGTTCGGTTCGGGGGAGCCGGGGTTCTCCATGTTTTTTGTTTGGGGGTTGAACACCTGGGAAAGGGCAGACCTCCAGTGGTGTCTTTCCATTTTCTAAGCATATATGTATTCTTCTCATTTTTCCATTTTTTCGGGCGTTCTTTTGGGGATTGAAGGCCTGGGTGATAAATCGCACATTGTTGTGTTTTTGTTTCTCCCAAAATGATCAAACTGTGTTTCCAGGGTCACATAACAACCAAAATGATTTTGAGATCCTGCCCCTCCAAAGCACCTCCATTGTAGTCTATTCTAGTGGGGATTAGGATGTTCACTGGGGGTACGGGGTTTTGACCCATGGCCTCATGGGAAAAAGGGGTTCTCGCTTTTGGAGCGAATGCTCAACCCACACCTCTGCATTTCCACAAACGGGCTCTTTGGTTGAGACACATGCTCAATGGCCCCAGTTGCTATGGTCATTGAACATGTTGGGATGGGTGGTGAATCTTTCCTAGAAACCGATGGTTCCCTCTTACATGGGACGCCCCCTATGAATGACCCCCCCCGGGCTTTTGAAAAAGGTTTTGAAGAGAACCAGCATGGCACCATGCACTTGGGGGCTACAAATTGATTTCGATTCGTCCGAACATTCGAAATCCCACGGCTTAGCTTGCATTTTGATTCTCAGGACGCGCCGGAGATGTCGTGCTCGAGCCCCAGATCAAAAGGGACGGGGGGGCCTGTTTTTGGTGCGATCCCCGCTGCCTGTTTTTGGGCCCAGAAGCGAAAAGGTACAGTGGAGATGACAGAAACAGGTTCGCGGTTCGGAAAATGGCAGGACGCCAAAGGAAACCCACCCAGTTTGCGCTGTGTTCTAGGGAACTAAAAGTAAGCCATCGGCCCCAGTGTCAGGCTTGGATCAAAGAGAGAGCAAAGTGTCACCATCCAGTTTGGGGCCTTTTTTGTAAGGGAAGATAGGGAAGCAAAAGTCAACGACCCATCTTGTAAATACAGAGAAACCACCGCGACACCACCCATTTTGGCTCGTTGTTTTTCCCGAGATAGCTGAAAGCTGCAGGAATTCTATCTTCTAATAAAGAGGGGAAAGTGATTTGCGAGATTGACGGCTGCGTGCTAGAGGGCATGCAGTTAGGGGTGCTGGTGCAGCTGCTGTTCGGGTGTGCTGTTTGGGGAGCTGTGTGTGGTGCTGGTGACGGTGCGGGCGCATTCTTGCAAGATTGACGGCAGGGTGCTAGCGCATGCAGTTTGGGTGCTGGTGCTGGTGCCGTTTCGGGGTGCTGCTTGGGGTGTTGCTTGAGGTGCTGATGACGGTGCGTGCATTTGTTTTTGCGAGATAGACGGCCCGGTGCTAGGGGGCATGCAGGTGACCGTGCAGGGACGGTGCGGGCACTTGGGGTGCTGGTGGAGGTGCTGTTTAGGGACGCTGTTTGGGCTGCTGTTGGAGGAGTGCGGGCGAGATTGACGGCCGTGTGCTCTGGGGGGTGCTGTTTGCTGCGCTCTTCGGGGCGGGGGGTGCTGTTAAAGGTGCTGGTGTGCAATATCGGCCTGTTTTTGCCATTTGGGGTCTACGCTGGTGCACTATTTTTTGCCAAACGGCAGCCATCATGTCCCAAAAGGAACCGCACAAAGAGAGGATTCCACGAGCCACATGCAATTCGGTTCGCATGTCGCCAGGCTATGCGGTGCTTGAGTTCCCTTGTGAGGAGGATGGGTTGGGCTGTACGAGCGGTCGGTGCCGTAAAACAGGCTTTGGTTTGGGAGTCAGGGAATGTGAGGAATGTGAGGTGCTTGGTTTTGGACAGGCGGCGCTTTGTTCGACGTAGAATCAGTGTGTATTTTTGACGAGGACAACCTATTTTGAAACAACACCTCATGATTTTGGTCTGTTTGGAAGCAGCGAACATTATGGCCACCGGAGATTTAGGAGTTTGTGCTTTCTTCATGACATGTTGTTTCCATCATGTTTCCATTGCTGGCACATGTCCCCCTCCAGCTTGTTTGTTTGCTCAGCAAGACAAGTTTTGAGACAGGTTCCGAGGAGCTTTCGTTGTGGCGTTTGCTTGGCTTTTTGCAGGTCCCCAGTTTGTTGTGGTTTGTGCTGGAGCCTGTGCCGCGCTTATGTTCACATCATGTTGTTTGTTCTGACTGCTCTTGGTTTGAATTCAGTTGTCCAAAATCAACCTTTTATCCTTTTGGAGTTTCCATTTTGGCAATCATGTTTAGTCAAGGTTCCAGAAATATGAACTTTTCATATCGCACAAGTGAATGAACACGCGCCGTCATGTGACAGTGTCAACGCCGCGCACGTCGCGCAAATGGTAAGAACAAGAGCGTGTTTCACATCGTCTTTATCGGCAAACTTTGCAAGACCGCCTGAAAACTCTTCCGCTGCCGAGGAAGTTTCGTTTTGCAAGCGTTGTGGACAACAGCAGGCGCTAGCCAAGCTCAAAATGACAACCCCATCACGGGGGATTTGTTTTGTCCATGTGTTTTGTTGAGGCCACTTTTGTGTTTTGCCGAAATTGTGAAGTGGCGATGTCCAGTTTGCTGCTGGAGGTGAAGTCACAAAAACGCACGCACGCGAGTGGTATCGGCGCCGGCGCTTTCCCCAGTGCCCTACAAAGCAGACAAGTCTCCCGAGGCAGGATGATTCTGACCACCAAAAGGTTCCCACTGAGTACCGTCCTCTGTTCTCAGGAGTCGGCCAACAAGCTGCTATAAGCTGCTATTTTCACCCACGGCTACCTGGCAAATGAGGCGTTGCTTGCACTTTGTTTGTTTGCTCTTAAGGACATGCAGGATCAGCTTGTTTCAGTCTGTTTCCCCACCATGCGCCTAAGAGCGACCCGCAGGAGGACATGCAGTACGACTTGGAGTATGCCCACGTGCTGGGCGACGAGCTAGATACCTCAGAGCTCCGGGCGGTGAACGGGCTCTGGCGATGCCCCACCGACGCCCGGAACCCCGGAAATCGGAAGAGCGATCGAGGGTGCAGTTGGGCTCCCATGGTTTGGTTTGGGCGCCTTGTTGGGGGTTGGTTTAAAGACAAGCCATTTGTGAGTTTTCTGAATTTCTGCGCAGGTGTCCAACCAGGGAGTCCTTTACTTGGATCGCCTCTTCTAGTTTTGTTTGATTGTTTTGTTATAACATTTTCAGATATTATAGAATAGCTATAACCTGCATCACAAGCTCCGACTTCTACAACCAGAAAGCTATCCTCAACCAGCCACTGGAGCCCCAACCAGCCACTTGAACCTGGGCTCTGTTTTGGTTTTGAGGTGAAATTGCTCGAGCTGGGCCAGCCCGGCATGGGCGGTGGGAATCCTCAGCCGCGCTGGCGCCGCTCGGCCGAAAAACGTGCTTGCCAGGGGTTGGGGATGCTTATGGACCCCAACATGGATGCCTTGCGGGGAGTTTTCGACCGCATTTGGTCGGGGCTGGCACCCTTCGAACGCATGGCCCATGATCCATGCGTTCGGTCAAACTATCCAGATGATCAAGCTGGGAGCGACGACTCTTTACGTTTCCAAAGCCGGGCGTGCCCTAATTTTTAGCAAATGTTGACCGTGCCAAAATGTGGGTTTGTTTCTAAATAGGGGGCTTTGGTTCCCCTTTGAACCCCCTTATGAATCTACTCTCCAAAACATATGCTGCAAATATATATATATATATATAATTATATATACAATATACATGTATTGCCAAAGGTTCGTTTCCTTTCTATGGCGCGCTGTTCACAGGTGCATATGAGGAACCGTGCGGGTGGGGTCGCATTTTTGCTTGCCCTTACCTTCAAGTCACAACAAGGGGATCAACCGTTGAAAGAGGACAAACCACTTGCCGGTGGGAGTGCAACCGGATTCAATTGGTGGCCTGAAGCCCTGTGGCTTGATTGGTGCGTCCACTTAAACAACAATGCGTTTTTGTTTGGGGGAGGCATTGTGAAGAATTTGTGCCTTAAAGAGACAGACAGAGAGAGAGAGAGAGAGCGAGAGAGAGAGAAACAGCGAGAAACAGAGGGAGCGAGAGAGAGGGAGAGAGAAAGAGAAAGAGAAATAGAAAAAGAAAAGGAAAAATAAAAAAGAGAGAGAGAGAGAGAAAGAGAGAGGAGCCAGTCTTTCTACAAAACATGTGTTTTCAACAAGGATCCGAATTCCAAGGTTTCGCAGAAGGACACATAGGTACATGCAGCTATAAAGTGACTTGAGATATTTTTTGCTTCTGAACGAGGCCCTCAGGGCTGGCGACTGGGTACGCCCGCACCTCCAGTGGTGTCCGTTTTCCTTTGTGGAGCGGGTTCGATTTAAAGTTAGCGACCTAACAGGGGCTCAATTGTCATGGCCACTCCCCCGATGCCATCAAGCTCCAAACGGGAAATCGAAGCTTTGGGAATCCTCACAGAGAGGCTGGTCCGATTTTCCGCAACCATGTCAAGTTCTATTTGAGTTGACGCCACCGAAAGGTGCATGTTGGCACTTCACCCTTTGGCCTTTGGCAGCCGAGACACGGACCAATGGACGATGTGCCCCGCAAGGAAGGAGCTACACACTCCTTGTTTGCCCCCTGGGGTGTTTGGTCTGACTCTTTCAGAATAGGGTGTTTCGCACACTAGTCATGGCCTCATTGTGTTGCGGGAAGGAAGGAGACTGAGTACGGTATTGCCCTATCGGTGTTTTGGGCGAAACCGGTTCGTGTATACCCTCTGCTTGAATGGATGGAACCTGCGTGAAGCCACCCTTCCTTTATTTGGAGACAATCCCAAATGCTTTGCGAAGCTGGCGTTGCATGCGGCCTGGTCACAGCCCGCTGCTCTTCGTGCAGGTTTCTTGTCTCAGGGGCTTTGACTGTCAGACCCAGATCCTGTTTCCCCGGAAACCCAGGTAGCCATCCAGCCAGGTTGACAGCTGGATCCATTGGGAAATTGGAGTCTCCCCCCCAACCCCCCCGCGAGTGCGGGATCCGAGGTGTGCAGTTTCCGGACATTCGGAACCTCCGAGGGGACGTGTTGAAGCTGGCCGGGCCCCTAAGCTTGGCCACGGACCCCAGAATCTCTCAGAGCTGTACCCCTTGTAGGTGGTTTTCCTTTTTGTTTCCAACTCAAAAGCTCGCCTTGGAGGGTAAAACCCGTTTAAGCCAACTACCAACACAAAGGTGCCCTGTTTTTGGTTCCTGTGGAAATCCTGGGCGTTTTGACGATATGGCCTGGTCGACTTTTCAACAGTCCTGCAGACTCCACGTGAAACAATTCAGGAGGTGCCGCGCGACATGAAACCGGGGTGGAAACCACACGGTGTTTCAGCTTCAAATCACTCCTTGCAGCAGGAATGGACATGTCTCCAGAACGTTGTTCAGTCGAACCGTTTCCCCCATGTTACTGAGCTGGCGAACAGTTTGGCCCGGCCGAAGCGGAAATCACTGGAAGACGTTCTTGTTTGGGGCAGATAAGCGCCCAGTTGACACCAGCTCCTTGGTTCCTATAGAGCCAGACGCCCCGCGACTTAAGCCCGTGCCCTGTCCATTTTTATTTTTTTAACGGGTATACCAGCACCTTCCAAGAGTGGTACACTTCCACATGAACTGCCTTTTGGGCCATTCTGGGACATTGACAGCCCTTGGTAGGTCCTGGGAAGGACCATTTGGTTAAAGGCTCAGACAAAACTCCCAATTCCCAGGCCTTGCTTCAGCGGGTGCGCCTGCGCCTGCGCGCCCGGATAACCCCAGAGGCGCGGGTAGCTTGGCAGTCTACTCACCCCCTGTATTTCTTGCGGGGTGGTTTGGGGGTAGTGACTAGTGAAAACCATCAGATGCCAGGGGACTGTCATGGACTCAGCATGACTTATCCCATTGCCAGACTGGTTGCCCTTTGGTCCTGTTTCCAGCTTAATTACTCTTTAGCGGCAAAACATGAACCTTTCGCGGGAGGTCTAAGTCCGGCCTCCAATCAACTTCCACGTTACGTGGGTGGGAGGGTGTATGTTGTTGTTTTTCTGTTGTCTCCTTGTGGTTTTCGCAGTGGTTTTTCTTCCACCCCCCCCCCCTCAAACAAAAAGGAAGAGGCTACCCTCAAGAAAGACAGATCCATATGCGAAAGTCCTGCTGTAGCGTGGTTGCTTGATTGGACCCTCAACCCTTCCACCTATCAATATTTGGCATCCAATCCACAGATTGGGGTTGGTTAGACCACACCCATTCCTCGAACGCTCCAACCTTCCTGAAATTGGTTTGTGTCCTCCCTCACCCAACAAGTTGACCTTTTGCCCTTGCCCTTGTGGCAGTTGTTTGATGCCAATGGTCGGGGGGTTGATGGGAAACACGAAAAACACCAGCTATGCCTACAGCTATGGCCATGTAAGGATGCTTTTCAGGAGCTTTTGCAAAGGCACCAGGTGGATGTCCACAGTATGACCGTGACACAAAGTCTGGAAGTCGTGCCGCTTCAAGTGCCGAGACCAAAGACTTTTAGCTCAATTTTGGTGGTCGACCTTTTGCCGAGATGCGACGGTTTCTGTCATAGCAATCTTGATGACGCAATCATTCTTGTAGACTGCCAGATCCCAGAGCGCCACCACACCCAGAGACTCTATGCTCCCAGATTTATGTAATATCCAAATCTGTGAAATGTTGGTATACATTGCTTATGGATTGTATGGGGTATAGTAAGCACAAATGCATCCCGATGATTTTCAATGACTTCGGGTTCCGGGCCAGGATTTGAGAGCGCACCCCGTGAAGCAAACTCCGACCCTGGGTTCCAGCTGAAGATTCCCTTAAAGCTCCGGCCAAATTGTTGGGTTAAGATACCCTGAACCCCCCTGAACCCGCCACCCCACACACCCAGGCCAAGGCCTTTTGAAGGCCTGGAGGATAGCCCCGATGGATCTGATCTCGGTGTCTTCAACATGGACCCCTGAGCTGTGTCCCCTTGTTTCCCGTTTCAAATCACCCCAAGTGCGCCCAAAAGCATTTACCGCTTATCAGCTCAGAGTTTGTCAAAGAACAAATTGGCCAGTTCCCTTGACCTGTTTTCACCGGCGTTTTGCAAGGGGACACCGGCAAAGGACCCCCATCGACAAGGCTCCGGGGGTCCCTTGATTCGCTTCGAAGCCGCAGGGCTCGACGTCACGCTGGTGGCGCTGGCCTGAGCGAAAGGACTAGCTGAATGGAACTACCCTGCTGTTGTTCTCTCACTTGTGCACATGACGTTCTGTCTCTGTTTTTTGCCAGAGCATCAGTTGTTTCAAAAAGAAACTGGTTGAGGAGAGAGGGAGTCTCCCAAATTCAAGGGGAAGCCGGGCAACTTTTTCGGATGCAGCGGGTCGACACGAGTTGCTGAGATCATGTTCACCCTTTCTGGGGTCAAAGTCAGCAATCGGGATGACTGGCCAACACCTCGCATCCACGGTACCGGTTGCCTAGCTTGCTGAGTTGGAATGACCTCAAAATGCTTGTTGGCTGGTTTCTCCATTTCCTCGGAAGGTCGGCTTGAACAAGCATGATGAAGGTCCCTGCTTGGTCTTGCTTATTTGTTCTTCGAATTATGGTAGGTTGTGCGCGCTCTCGAAGCATGTTTTGACTTAGGATTGTATGTCGTCCATTTGTCGCTCGGTCAACAACGACATGAACCCGCGCCGTTTGTCGTTTATCGGGGCCGCTCGTGCTGCTTCGCCAGATGCCTTTTTCGCGCTCCTCGCGCCCCCTTCATAGATCCTCGCACACGCCCAACCATTCTTTGGACTCGGCAGTTTGATGTGGTGTTAAACCTCTTCCACACTTTCGGCGAAGCCGCCTGGGAATGTGGAACAAAACAACTGGAGCGTCGTTTGCGGGGCGCCGTTTGCAAGGGCAATGAGCACCGGGTGCCCGTGGTTGTGGTGCTCCGCCTTTGTTGGCAATCCGCCGCTATTGAGGCTCACACCCCCCATGGGAACTGCCAGGAACATTGATCCGGTCGGGTCGCGCCCTGCGCCTGTTCCTCTGGTTTTGCTTTGGGCCGGGGCAAGTGGAGACACTTCGGCCAGATTTCACTGGGCCCATTCCAAGTGACATCCTTACTTGCAAGCGTGCCCTGTATTTCCTTGTTTGGCACCTTTTGGGTTTTTGTAAGGGAAACAATTTGGGAACCCTGATTCCCCCCCCCTCCCCCCGGCAAATTTGAGAACCCTTCCGAACGCAAAAAGACGCGAAATGAGTCCAAGGTCTGCATTGTCGCCGCCAGTGTCCACAGGACGGGTCATTGAGTGGCACATTTCCTGTGAGCCATGTGCAAGACAAACCAACCAATTTTTCGCGGGTCTGTGTTAGGCTCCGAGCCTTTTTTGTGCTTCCCGTGTTTTTGTTTTCCAGAGGCCAAATTTTGACGAACTTGCGAGAGGTGGGTAGGCCCTGTGTGAATTCGAGTCGGCTGTCCAGTCGCTTCCAGGTTGCAAACGTCACTTCCCAAAGCGAACCAACAGACTGTGGCTGAGCGCTGCGAAGCCCGTCGAGGACTTGTGAAGGGCTGGAAGCCGTTTGGAGTCAAACGTGAGCATCAAAATCCAAGGCTAGCAAGGGACCTCTGCAAACGAGGGCTCCAAGGGTCTAAAAATCTGACATGGGAACATTATTTGTGAAGCCCAACCGCCCGTTTCAACCGCAGGCTTTGCCAGCGCCGAGAGCGTGGGCGCGGTGCTCATGGCGGAGTCGGGGCGCCTTGCCGTGGAGGCGATGGACATCAAGATCCGGACATCCAACGAACTGCATACCTTCCTTGTTTCGTGGCTGATAATCTGAACGTTATATGAGTCAATCGATTTCCCTTTTGAAGGGTGGTGTGAAAGCGTAGCATAGAAACTCATTCAAACAAAAAGGGGGGAAGGATAAAGAACTGGAATTGTGGCCAGGTGCGGTTAATGTGATCAATGGATATGAACAGAACGTGCGGGCCAGTTCGAAAAGAGTGTTCTTGTTCGAAGGGACATCCAACTTGGCGGTTCTCAGCCATAGACTTCTAACTTTTGTAGGGTCCAGATGGATTTGTGACACATCCCACGAAAGGGACCCACGAGCCACTGAGAAGAGAAATCGGTGCCCTTCTGTTTGAGGCATAGCAACTTGGGAAAAAACAACCATTTAAGGGCCAAGGATTGGGGTGTGAGAACCCCCCTACCTTCGCCCAACTTTAATGAAGCCCCCTTAAAACACGTTGACCGAGCATGCCCCGCTCGAGGTTTGGGAAAACATGTCGTGCTCGAAAGTTGCCAGGTGCGGTTCCAGCTGGACAAACGCCTGGCGGAGGCCGCGCAGAACGCGGGGGCCAAGGAGCTGCAGATGCAGCGCACCGAGCTCTTCCAGGCCAAGCCGAGCCCATGCGTCGAGGGCGTGCTGGCCTGGCGACCTCTTGCAAAGTTTGTTTAGAAAGGCTCGCTGATCTTCATGTTTGGTTGAAGACCTTCAGTTCCCACTATAGCAGACAACCCCGCGCACAGTGTATCGACATCTCATGGCTCAATGAGCCATACTCCGAGAATATCTTTCGCTTTGTTGCGTGCGCATCGCATTACCGGGAAACGGACATCCAAACGAAGGCCTGCACCGACAAAGTCGTGTGGAACAGGTACCTCATACGCTGGCAATGTTCTGGGACATATATGTTTGTGAGTGTGTTTTAAGGGTGGGTGGGTGATGGTTGTGGAACCCACTGGAATCCCAGAGACCTCGAGGGGGGTTTCCTTCAACCAGAGAAACGCGTCATTTTCTCCCACCACTGGAGGTTTGCGTTGGACAACACCCAACCCCATTCAAATTAGTGAGAAACTGCTCCTACCACCCCTCGAACACGCCACTACCCCAACACGCCAAAACAAAACTGGTTGGTCTATTTCCAGTTTTCTGCACAAGGGGTGTGAATTCGAGGACGGGGAGCCCGTTCGCTGGTAGGCGCTGGACGCTGCTGAGCAGGGCAGGACGAAGCCAGGCAGGGCGGTTTGGACAAACAAGTTGCGACGCGGGGGTCCCCTGTTTCTTCCAACCAGAAACCTTTTGTTTGACCTCCATTTCACGTTTGGCTTATTGGCCGAACAAAGCAGGTCAGAGTTTTCAGGGGTTTCGACCAAGATGCGTTGGACCCCATCCAAGTTGTTGCATTCGGATTCATTTTGGGTTCTCCTTAACATCATCCAAAAACAGTTTACTGCTTACGTTCGGCAGCAGGGACGATTGTAAGCAGCGCCATGACGCGCAAGTGAGAGCAGGATTCTTCATTTCCCTTTAGAACCATCCTAAAAGATTTCCGAAGTGTTGGTTGCCTTTTCGGCGTTCCTGCGTGTTCCCTTAGCAAAAAGTTGATGTTTTGCGGGGGATCGGATGTCTTTGTTGTTTGGCTGCCCCGTTCTGGGCCTGGCTTTGGATTTGCTGCACATGACATGAATCGGACTTGGCCCATGAGGCGACTCCTCGGGCACGCCGGCAGCCCAAGTTCCAGAGAAAGGGCCAAGCGGCCAAGCGCAGTGTAGCCCTTAGACGCTTACCCCATGTCGTAAGCATGTTAAAGCCGCGAGCCAGACCTAGGAAACTGCTTAGCCAAATTGGAGGCTTCGAAGTGGGGCGTACTACTGTACCTAATTACCTGGGGGTACTTGGCACTTTCCCTCAAAGTGAGCAGTGCGCTACCACAACGAGTGGCCGAACTGAGTAGTTCTGCACCTGGTGCGCTTGGGACAAATAGCTACTGGGCGCTCCTGAGGGTATGCGAAATATGCTGTTCAAATTGTTGAGTTGACTAATTGGTGGCCGACAGTGGGGCCAATCCTGGGCAACTGCCCCGTGACAGTTGAAAGTCCGAGGGGGGCATGGCAACCGCGAGGAGAGAGTTGGAGCACCTGTTTTGTTGCCGACGAAAACCCCTCCTGCATAGCGCGGCTTCCGGAGCATCACAAACCATGTCACCAGGCCAGCAGCGAACACCTTGCTTTCAATCACATCCTGTGTCAACACCACCTTAAGCCAGGACCTGCTGCACAAGCGGCACATGACCGTCAGAAACTGCAGGTCAAGGACAGTGACAACAATGACATAGGCAAAGTAGCGGACAATGATACTGAGAATGGGACAGTGACAACAATGACATAGGCCAAGCTGTGGACAATGACAAGAAACATTATTTAGTTTGCTCCACCCATACCAAAGAATCTGTTGCATGTCCTTAAGCAGCGCCCAGGCTAAGCCTTCGTAGATCTTGTAGAGCCAAACCTCAAAAGTGAAGTGGTATAGAGTGTTGCGCCTTCTTATTGACCTGCTGACCATTGCTAGCGTGTGCTTCAGCGTTGCCAACATTGCGCCTTGCGTGATGAATGGAGTCTGGCGAAGGTCAACTCTTTAAAGGTTTCCTTATATGGGCCAGAATCAACGTCTTATTTTTGGCTGGGGGGAAAAGCTGAGGTAGTTTGAACCTTCGCATTTTGGCGCGGCGCTTTAATCCGCTGCGTGATTGGGCGCATTTTGGGAAGAAGATGTCTCAGGAAAATCCTTTGTCGACCGCGTTTTCACTTCTGCCTTGTCCATTTTTGTCCAAGGTCACAAGGGGTTAGCGTGTGTGTGGGAATTGGTTTGCTGGTTTGCCTGGAGCTCATGATGGCTAGCTCCCATCGGAGCTTCTGGTCAAGGCTCACCTGGCCTCGCGGCTTTGGGCACGCCTTTGTCACGAGGCTCGTGTTGGAAATGCAAGCGAAGCATTCTGGATCGCGCGTCCGGAAACCAGGGAGCCCCCCTGAATGGGAAACCACATGTATCGCGGCATTCTCTCCTAAGCTGGCGCAAAGGTGGGTCCAAATCAAGGAGGGAAACCAAAGGAACACAACATGTACAGTCTCCTGTTTTTGGAGAAACTTAGCTTAGCATATCAGAACCGTAAACAGAGATCCACATGTGTTTCACTTGTCCATCGCGAGTTTTGGATGCCCCCCATTTCAGGCGGCCCATGAACGATCAGGATCCAATAGAGGACCAATGGCTTTTGGTACGGTAGCCCAAACTATTGCAAGTGCACCGCATTCACACAAACCCTGGCAAACTGCATGAACAATCACTGGGTTTCCCTTGATTTCTACTTATCATTCGGCCATCCGCGTTTGCGGCGCATGGGCCACGAACTTCAATGAATCCCTGAAACCGACCTTGGGAGCTTGGCCAATGGCCCACAGCGCTTGGGATACCACCGCAGAAATTTGTGTCCGACCCATTGAACATCACGCACATTTGGATGTCCGTTTTCACCAATTTTGAGAGTTCGACCTTCAGAGGAGCTTCTTTTATCTTGGTTCCCTTTTGGCCGCATCCATTTCATGTGTCTTTTGGGACCGTTGAGGGACCTTTGGAACCGCTTTTGAAACTACCTTCCAAGCAAGGAAAGGTGACCCGAACCGGGCATCCCCTACATTTTGGGTTGATTTTCAGCGACAAGGGTCTGCATGTTCTTTGAGGCTCGGTTTAAAGGGAAGCCAAAATGAAAGCCACCATCATGTTGTTTCGGGGTATCTTGACATGGTGCCTTAGAACAGGGGATTTCAGAAGATTGTTGGTTTCCTTGGTTTCCCTGGACGAGGATCCCAGAAGTTTCTCGCAATCACTCGGCCAGGTATCAGCTTCGCACCCGTCACATGGTGCCCACAGAAGTGGGCTCCGGCGAGTGGAGCTCTTGGGAGGCGCGCGCGAAACGAAGGCCGAAGATGTCGGGCGAAGGAAGCAAATTCCAGGGGTAAAGACGGGGACGTAGAGGTTGGCCTCAAAATAGGGGGCCCATGCTCAAGAAAAAATGGGGACATGGGTTTGTCTTTAGATTCCCTGTAGAACCAAAAGGGGACCCCGCAGAAAAGGCCCCTTGATTTTTAGGGCCTGAATCAGTAGAACTTACTGAGAGGGAGAGATGATCAGTAAAAGATGGGTATTGTACTGACCCCAACCACTAGTGCTTTAGCTGCATATTTGAGGGGAAACTCCTCACTATATGTTGGTGGGAAACCAGCAACAACTCCAGTGATTCGCAATATGGTGGTGGTCACTTCATTGCAATATGTATATTTTAGGGAATGAACCGTGCCGTCAAAGTGACATAGTGATTCTGACGCAAAACTAGGCATCAACCCCCCACTCTCGACAAATTGCGAGGTGTGTTTTCTTCCCAAATGGGGTCTTGTCACAAACCGATCGGGTCAGGACAGACGAAATCGGACCCATGTCCCCACCGGAACTCCTCGATCAGAACCACTTCATGTTCCTTCAGGCCCTTGAAAGTTGCCTCGGGTCCTTTGGCACCACCAAATGCTTGGTATCCTGTGGCTTTCCCTGCATGAGAGTATGGGTGACCTTTGACTACTCCCCCCCTCAACAATGCATCTCCCCAAAGCAAAGGGCCCTGGGTAGTATTGCTTGGGGCAAATTTGAGTTTCCATTTGATTTAGGAGCTTCCTGTTAAGATTGGAGTTGAGATTGGAGTTGAGGGATTTGAGTTTCCATTCGATTTGGTGTTGCTGGAGGTTCCTTTTGAGATGGAATGTGAGGAATTCGAGTTTGTTGATTTCGTATAGCTGTATTGGATTTCCACTTGATTTAGTAGTGTGGGTTGAACTTCTTTTTTTTTGTGGGGGGGGGCTGCAACAAATTATTAACTCGGGGGAGCCCCTATACTTTGTTCCTCCTCAAGTACTCCCTCCCTTTTTGGAAATTGGGCTGCGGTTTGAATGAAACCAGGTAAATAAGTTTGAGCTTGGCAACTGTGTTTTTTCTCAAAATGGAAGTCTTGACCTCTCCCTTTGCTCAAACGTATTCATTTGATTGGTGTCTTTGGAGTGCTTTTGTTTGGATTGATTACATGTTCTGTGTTGTTTTGGGGTCGGCGATCATTGTTTCAGGGGGTACCCCTAAAGAGGTTCCCCTTAGATATTCAACCCTTCAAACTACACCTGATAGCCTGAGACGAACTGCACGCGCAGCTCGACTCGCGTTCGCTACGGCCCGCGTAGTATGCGAACGACCCGCGGAATACAGACGAGGGCGCGCCGCCATCGCCGCAGAGGATCCCGCGCCCAGTAGGCCCTTTTCCCTTTTTGTTTGGCGGGTTCTCCACTACAAAACGTGCATCTCGAAGAGGGCTCCCTTTTCCTACCTTGATCACTTGGCACTGGGAAGAGTCTACATTTTTTGGTGGCCAATCCATGCAGGAAGTGAGAGTGAGTCGCCTGGCATACACACATCGTCTGGCGCTTGTGTCAAGTCAAGTCGCTCCGAGCGAGGTGTTCCCAGATCACGCGTTGCCCGCTGAGCAGCCTGGAGGCAGGATCTCGCGACTCGCATATCTGGGTCAAGCTGACATTTGAGCGCCTACAACCAGTATAACAACCCCAAGCAACATGGAAGCTTGGATTGGTTTTCCCGTTGGGACCGCTTCTTTGGGTTCCATGTCCACAGGGCCACCAATGGTGGGGTCCTTTTGATCTCCCTTGAAATCACCGCCAAAAGAGTACCCTCAACACACCCAATGAGCAGCGCCCAAAACCCATCGACTTGTCCCTAGAGCCACTTGTAATTTAATGGTCCCAACAAGGCCAGGTAGTAGAACCAGCTAATTACCAAAATTGAAGGACGGTCATCATTTGCTTCCGTGGGATTCTAGGCAACCATGGGAAGGATTCATACGCAGGGAGTCATGACCATGGCCCAGATGGGGAGTTTGAATTACGGCACATATGAGGTTGAGTCAAACTATCCCTGGAATTTAATTGGTCCATGTTGGACGGGACTCTTTTAATTGGCCAACAAGAACCAGTGGACTCTCTAAATTTCTAACGCTGAGCAGGATGACAGCAAATTTGACCGTGGCACGTCTCTGCCCACACGAGGGAGGGGGAGGGGGGGCTAGTTTGTGTGCTCTCGGTTCAGTGAGTCGGTGTTCTTGATGTGGTGTTGGCAGCCCATCCACCAGAACCTCCAGGTCAAACCTGTGCCACTAGGCGGGTGGTTTTGGGAATCTTCTATGTGTCTCAGAAGCCAGAGATGGATATGGGCGGGGATGGGCATAGCCTATGACAGGGTAGGCTTGGACATGCATTCCGACGATTTTTTGGTGAGAAGGCTTAAGAAATATGAGCACCCTTTCTTTAATGGGGGGGGCTGGAGGCAGGCTCTCAATCCAGTCTTTGCTGTTGCTGTACACTTTGCAAATCTGCTTGCAGTGAAGTCCTTTTCTGAGGAGACATGTCATTTGCCTCAAGAAGTTTTAGCAGCTGCCCAGAATAGCAAGCTAAGTCGCTCATGTTCTATGGAGTCCTGGTTGATGCTAAGACCCCGGACCCGAACATGAATTCTTCAAAGTAAATATCCATGTTCCACGAAGGCTTTTGCCTGAGGAAGCGAAGAGATCTTTCAAGAGGTAGCGTCGGAGAAGAGATGGCGGACCCGGACGGCGGGCTCTGGAGCAGCCGCGATCCGGGGCGCCCCTTCGGTGGGGGGGCGAGTCCATGGACGCGAGGCTGACCCTAGAGGCGATGGTACACAAACTCAACATGCAGCAGGCGGAGCCAAAGCTGCGCAAGGAAGTCTCCGGGGTCCAGACGACCAACAAACTCTGGCGAATGCTGACCTGCTGTCTTAGACCAAAGCAGTACGTGGCCGGTCTGTCACATACGAGCTCCGAGTGTGCAAGTGACCAATCAGCCAGAGTGCATTTGGTGAGGCAGTATTTGGAGAACACGAGAGATATTTGGCCTTCATGTAGTGGTGAGCAGTGCTTACCCTCATGTTGCCTGTTTGGGGATAGTGAATTCCCCTTTTCATGTCAACAACAGTCCCTTCTCTGGCAATGAAAGTGGACAAGGAGCCCCGAAAACAAAAGTATTCTTCCACCTTGCTGTCAGGGATGGTACACTTCAAACTTTAGTGGGTCGAACTTGTGTTTTGCAGGGGAGAGACCATTTGTAGTTTGTTCAAAGGTACGTGTTGCTCCCGAGCCCATTTTTCTAGGCATGCGTTTTAGGTACTTCTCTTTGAAAAAGTGCTAGACAAAATCGAAGAACGGCTGGTTGTTGAGAAGAGCGCCGCTTGAAAAAGTCAACCCCTAGAATTCTGATGCGAACAACCAGCCGGGAGGCCTCAGTGGTTTTGCAGGAGAGTCTTCACATTATTTTGTTTGGGTAGGACAAGGCATGTTTGCTTGCCCCGCTGCTTTGGGAGGATTGGGCCAACCACCGAGTGGGCTTCTCATGGCTTCTCTATGGGATGATGGTCCAAACCAATGTGAGCCATGCTTTTTGCTCAAGTCATTTCCCTGCGCTCTGCAGGAAATCCTCCTCAGATGAAGTGGCGCGAGTCTCAGCGAGGGTGGCATGAGCGAGATGACCTCACTTGGGCGGTGGAGGTAAACTGTGCAACCTGGAGTCTCCATGACCCTGCATGCAGCAAATACCCAGTCACAGTCTTCGTCACACAATCAAGAAGCACGGAAGTTCGTTTGATTTGGTTCTTGGCATTTTCGGGTGAGCCTTCCATGTTTACCGGCAGGGTCTCAGCTCTTCATTTCCCGTGGCTAAAGCGAGGGCCCTGCTAATATGAAGCAATTTTCGGCTTCCCTGTCCAACCTGAAAAGGGGCTAAGGTCTTTTGTGGGGCAAGTAACTCACGCGAACGCCACTAGACCTTTGAGGCTGGCTTTTCAGCTTTAGCCTGTTGTTTAGTCCATATTTCCCCGACTTGGTTCTCAGCTTACAGGTTTGTCTCTCCTGTTTTGGTTCAACCGTTGGCTCCGGTTTCCTGGTTTGTACTGTTTTAACATGCTGTTTGCTGGTTTGCGTGTTCTTTGTTCTGGTGTTCACCAATGTTTACTGGTTAAGCTTGTTTTTTGCTTGGTTTTTGTACGGGCTTTGGGGGCTTAGCCCGACTTTTGGCCTCCAGTTGACTCTCCGCTTGCCCTCGGCTCAGGTACAAATCTCCAGTGCCTCTCCCAGAGAACCGCGACCTGGTGGCCGGCACGTCCGTTGCCTCCAGCGAGACGGTGCAGGCGGAGGTTTTTGGTGGGTCCTTATGTGGGCGGCTCGTCTTTTTTTGAGGGCACCTCCTTGTTGTGGTTTACACATCTACAAAAGATGCCCCGTGTGCACAGCAGGCCCAACATGAGCAATGAGAGCTTACTGCTTTCTTTGTCCGGGTGGTTCAGTGGCACTTCTGTTTGGTGGGTCCCCCTCTCAACTGGTGAACCCCAAAAGAACGGGTTCCCTTATGCCTCCGTTTACCAAGGCCATTGGGCGACTGATCTGGCTGGGCAATTTTTTGAGGGAACCCTTTTGAGGTCAACTGACTGGAAAGCGACAATGTTGGGGGTTCCCCATGCAGAGACACACACACACACACCCATTTGTAATTGTTTTGCGCGCTGGTGCCAGGTGTGTGTGCGAGTTGGTGATGGTTTTAAGCAGGGCGCCCCAGCTGCCTTGAGCCGCTTGACACCGAGATGTGCTTTGGCAGGCCTGTGGCTGTGGGGTTTCCCACGTGGTTCCTTGCTTTTTCTGCGGTCCTTCTTTTGACTTTGGGGTTCTTTGGGGGTGATCAAGTCAGACACTGGGGTTGCTCGCCTTTTCCGGTAACTCTGACTCATGGGGTCAGTTTTTTGGGGGTCTAAGTCTGGAAGTCTGGCCCTTTCAGAAAAATAGAGAGACCTTCCGAGACCCCTTTCCCGTTTTCCTTGCAGGCGATCCGCTTCTGCGCAGGCGATCCCTGCAAGCGGCAACACACGGAGGAAGGCTGCAGACAGGTGCTGGAGCAAGTCCTGGGAGCGGGCGCCGCTTTGTTCGCTACTCGATGTTCCGCGACCTGAGGGTGCTGTGGGGCAAGACGCGCCCGAATAGCCTGACTGCAGTTCTGAACGCCTGCGTGGACCGGCACGTCTACGAACGCGGCTGCGCCTGCCTTGGGTGGCGCAACTTCTGCCAGGAGGCTAAAAACACCTAGTTTCCCTGTGTCAATGGCCTTCCTGCACTGAATGGGGGGGGGGGGCATGAAAATCGGGAACCCCTTCGTCTTGCGCGAGCTGGTACCCTTTTGAAAGGGGTTGATCTCAAGAGTAAACCAACGCTACGCTGACCATTTTGTGGATTCCCTGATTTTGAGTTTGTTGGCAATATGAAGCGAACCATGTGAGACAATGTTTGCAATTAATTGAAGACGAACCTTTTGAGACATAATCTGACACAAATTGCAGCTTGAGATAAACATGTCTTCATTTTGGGGACGAAACACTGGTGCGTTGTTGTTGAGGGCATGCATCTGTGGGGAAGACGAGCTCAAATCCGGCCACTGCACAAAACACACAGTTCTGGAGGACTTTTGGCTTAGAAGCCCAAAACACAGGAAAGGGGTTGGAGCCTCAGGGGGCACACCCCAAAATCACTTTGGACATTTTGCAACAGTTCCTGCCATGGGTTTGAAGCGGGCGATCCACGTGCATGTACCCTGACTTCAAGGGCAAACAAAGGGAACCAACCGTTTTGGGGTATCGGAAAGTCCTCAGGGCCTTCCAGTATTGGGTAAGGGTTTCTCTTTTGAACCCTATTTGCGCTTTGCTCCCAAAAGGGGGAGAGGCTCCGTATCGACGTGCAAGGGCACGGTTTTCGTTCACTCTTTGGCGCCAAGGAGGCGCGACCCACAAAACGGAGGTGGCCTTGTGTTCCCAAAGTCAACTGACTGGGCCCATGCGCGGTCCGTTTCCCAGCTCTCTTCTGAAGGGATCCCTGTTGGTCCTGGATCCTGTTGGTGGCCTTTTAGCAGAACAGATGAAGGCTTCGACCACATTGGTTGGGTTAATTTTCGAACCACCCCAAATGGTTGGTTTCCTTGGGCTTCCCTTCAAATACAAATTCCCGGTGAGAACCTCGCAGCGCGCCGCAGGTGGTCGCCCTGGAAGGCTGCCAAGGAGCTCCAGGTTGTCCTTGACAAGCCCTGCCCTGCGCAGGAGGAGCCCCCCCACCCGAGTTGGGGAAGGGAATTGGGGGTTCTGGGGAATAAGAAACCAGAAAGATACTTTTTTAGGGCGGGGGACCGCGGGGGAGGGGGGGGTTGGATCCTCAACAGCCTATGTTCTAACAGAGCTGACCCATGTGGAGGGTAAATGTGGACCATTTTGAGAAGCACTGGTTTTGGGAGCATGTTCGAGATTGCTTTGAAGGGATACCGGAGCCGACACATGCTTCGCATGTTGTCAAGGCAAACCCAAAAGGAACCAGCCTAGGTTGTGGTGATGGAACCCACGCATCTTTGGGATTGTCTCAGAAGGCCGGTGTGGGTTTTGCCCATAGAGATAGGCTTCGAGCTTCTCCAGGGGAGGCCGTGGGCCCGCCACAGGAGATGGATGAGTTTATGTGGGCTGTTGAAAGGTAAACGGTAAACCTTCATCCTTACGTACGTTGGGTTGGGAAAGGAATCCCCGAAAGGTCGTAGGGAGTATGGAGGATTGGCCAGCAATTGAACGGCCCAGCTTGTATTTGTCCTTATAAAACCAAGAGTAGTGGTTGCCCAAGTTTTATTCCCTTGGAATCCCCTCTACTGCCACGTAGACGTTTGCATGCTCAAATGATTTTTCTGATGTCAGGAGGCCGCTGCCAGCTGGTCAGGCACTGTCGAGCACTCAGCCAAATGTTTTTGGGCTTTTGCTGCCAGATTTAGTTGACCATGTTTGCCTTTTTGGCCTGGTGTTTCTTCCTTCTCCAAGTTGCCAGGCATTACAGGATTTGCAGCCCAGTGTGGTTGATCTGAGTCCCCAACAGATGGCCAAACAACCCGAAGGGTTGTTGACTGCATGATCATATGTCTGCCCGGGTGGTATCTTTGGAGCAACCCCAAAAGGATTATTCGTTTTGGGATGGTGTCAAATTGGCCGCCTTTGCAGTGGCCAAGCGCATTGGTCATGTTTCCTCCCGGTCGAAGAGTTGCTGTGCGCGCGGAGGGCCAACACCTGAAGCCATGAAGGTTAAGCCAATGGAGCCAGCTACCCAAGAGAGAAGCAGGGGCATCCGTTCGAACCTAGTTTTTTTTTTTTTGAGGGTGCACTTTCTGGGTTTGCTTTAGCGGGCCACAAAGAGGACCCGAACGGGCAAGCATCTTGGCAACTGGATCCATTGGTAGTCTAAATATGCCACGTTTGGTGGACTTGTCGTGCCCTTTCCATTTGCCCATCGCGTGGCCAAGTGGGTTCCATCCCCTTTTTGCAGTGAGTTGGCATTTGTTTGTTGGAAAGCTGCTTCATTATGTTTGCCAAGCCAACCGGCTTGAACTTGTTTCGGCGCGCCAACTCAAGGTAGGTCCACCAACCAAGGAGTTTTGGAATCATTGCCAGTCGCCTCCTGCCCCCACTGCCCCACAATTTGCCCGTGAAAATTCGGGATTTACGGGCGATGCTGCTTCCCAGTGCTTCCACTTGCCACATGGCGATAACGCTACGACACGTGCTGATTGGTGGCTTGATTTTGTGCCGAGGGATCGAAGGCGTGTTTGCCACGTTCGCAGAGCCCACATCAACAAACAAAGCCCATGTGGTGGTGACCAAACCCCCTCAAACACCCTGTGGTTCAGGGACGCCTACACATGGCATCCTTCACTGTTAGGATTGTCTAGTCAGACAGCTCCAACTTGCGTATAGTCGACTTCTCCACATGGCTCGCCTTTAACTCGCGCTGAAGCTTTCGTTCTCTAAAGCTTTCGCGAGGTCTGCAAGGTGTCCTGGCCGCCGGCCATGGCCCATGCTGGGGGCTCGAGACGGGCGTTTCACATTTTTTGGGGCTGCTTTTTGGTGATAGCGCTTTCAAGACAAGTGTCAGCTAAGACACTTCTCAATGGAATTTGTCCACCACACCTGGTCCCCGCCTTGTCCAATCCTGGTCCACCAACCCGAAACGAACAGAACTAACCACAGATCAGATGATCATGCACAGGCATAAAGCCTTTAAGGCCTGAAACATGGGCGAGTGGGAAAAACTCTTGAGGCCAAAAAGAAGCCCAAGGACTGCCCCCAACAGCCAGCTTTGCGTCATCCAATTTGCATCCGTGAAGGTATTGTTCCGAGTTCCGAGCTTTGGGGACGCCAAAGGTCTCGTCAGGCCCGAAGCTGTTGCAGGAATGAATTGGCTGTGGATTGGCCTTGCTTTTGATTTCCCTTCAAACAACCTCAAAAGGGTTTGCAAAGCTCAAGTTGGTTGAAGGTCCTTTATTTCCCTTTAAACCAACCTTAAGGCTCAAGCCGAGATTTGAAGTTTGCCTCAAGCCCATAAAAGAAGCTTTTGGCAACTGAGGCAGGCATCCAGGAGGTGGAATACCAGCTCTTGGTGGTCCCAGACAGCGCTTTCCTGAAGCCTTTCGTAGGCTTCCTTCGGCGTTCGAGCGCATTCCTGGAGCCTGTATTCGTCTATGGTCCCCTCAACATGGGTGGCTTCCGTGTGGTCCTCCCTATAAAGCAACCTCCAAAAGGCGGACGTTTGAACAGGTGTGCCCTCAGTTGCATCGGAGTTTGCTTCCACTCGGCTTTCTGGTTTTCAGGAAAGAAGGATCTCTATCAATCAAGAATGGCGAAGCTAGCCCCAGATTTGCTTCAAGCGTGAAGGGAAACTGTTACTTTGGAAGCATGGGCATTTTCTGCACTTCGCATTGTTCTTGCTTTTTGGGGGTCTGTTCGTTTTTTGGTTGGGGCGATCGCAAAACACCTTGTTGGCTGACTTGTTAAGGTCGGGGAGTTCAAGCAAGGCAGCCATTGCTTTGAACAGATCTGCCTGAGAACAGGGTAAGAAGTATGTGCAACATGTTGTTGCAGGGCCAAGGTTCTGATTTAAGTTTGAGATGTTGATGATTTCGAGGCGGTTACACTCGGTTTGCCCTCCCAAGATCGAGTGAACGGCCCGCAAAGGTGTGAAAAGAGACTGGAAAGGTTCCCCATTTCCTGGGACATCTTGTGAAATTATTTTTCATTTGAGGTTCACAACATATGGACCAGAATCACACCTGTTATTTTTGGTTTGGGGCAATAGCTGAAATTGCTTCATGACAGTGATTGATTGTTCAAAGGCGCAAAACGTCCGCGAGGAACACGCAAACCTGAGAACCTGTTTTGGGTGAGTCGGGCAGACCTTCGCTCAAAAACACGGTGGCTTCGGAGAGTGTTGCGAAACAAGTCGCGGGTCGAAAAAGGAGCAGGCAGCCCCGGAAGCTCTTCAAACCTAGAGGGAAGGAAACGGTATGGTCTCCACTATAGTGGGAACGAGAAAGCTATAAGCCTGGAATCATTTTATCAGCCCTCAGCCCCTCACAGCAAACCTGGTTTCGGCAACGCAAAAGGGAGTCTTACAGTGCGCCTGTCCGCCAGCTCGTGTTGGGAGGGTATTTGGGTTTGCCTTTTTGGGTATCCTTTCTGGGGTGGTGTTGAAGGAAGACCAAAAGAAACACCGAAATCCAGGTTAAGAAGGTGCTGTGGGCGTTTATGCGGGCGAAGATCCGCGAAGCTCTGTACGCACATATTTGCAGACCTCACTTCCTTGTAGACAAACACCTTTGCCAGTGTCCTTCATTCCCTGCCCGTGCTGGTAATGGTGCAAAGCAACGCGTTGGCTGGGCTATTTTGGAGCAAGTTTTGCGAAAACCCTGCGAAAGCCCTGGCGCTTGTTGCAGGGTTCCGCACTTTGGGCCCAGGACGGAGCAGTCACGGCAAGCACAGTGGAAAGGGCGAATGGTAGTTGCTGCTTTCACTTCACGCTGTTGCAAGCTTGCCAGTGCAAGCGATAGGCATTGTCACTGGGTTTGCAAGCGTAGCTGCAGCAGCAGCAATGATCCAGGACGCGTGCCGGAAACAAAAAGGTGTGGCAATGGAGTCGCGAAAGGTCCGCGAAAGGGAGAGTTTATATACATGGCTGGTCTTGGCGGCAACCGGATGTAGACCTTTGGGGCAGCTTCTCCATGAAACCTACAAAACGTGGCCGGCCTTTTGCTCAGCCGGAAAGGCACACCTGTTCTGTTCGGGAATTGGCAACTCCAGTTCGAATGCTGTATTTGCGCTTGTTTTGCTTGGAAATTATATCCTCTCTTGGAAGCTGGGCTGTTCCAGCCCTACCCTTGGACTTTGACGCTTGTGAAGGTTACGGGGTGTATGACGTGTTCCAAAAACCTTTGACAACGGATCACCGAGCCACTAAGGAAGGGTAATGTCTTAAAAAAGGCAACGACAACAAAAGGGAATGATTTAAATTTCCAGGTGGAAATCCACCGGGCTTCCGGGAATCCATCCCCTGCGCCGGGCGCTAGGCGCGGTGATTATCGCGCCGGCCATGGAGGGCCGGGCGCGCAAGCGCCGGCCCACGCCCAGCAAGACTGTGACCGTCAAGGACCTGCGAGAGCCTTGGCTCGATCGAGGATGGTGATAGGAAAAACCAGACCCGGAAGATGTCCTTTACAAACTGGTTCCCATGGCCAATGCCCTCTAAGAAAAAACTTGGCTCACACATCAGGATTGATAAGGAATTCCGCGGTTTTTTCCAGATTCCATTTTCTGGTTGGGCTGGTTTTAAACGGAAACCACGCGCTCCACAATTACTGCTTGGAAAGTACAAATTGTCGATTCGTGACTGATCATAGTGCGTCCAGATATGTTGGTCTGTTTGAACTTGCTGTACATTCTGGGGTTCGCTAATATGCACCAGAAGCAAGCATCCATGTTTGGTTGGTGCAAAAGCTCAGGCAGAAAACGTTTTTTTTTTTTTAATGTGGTTTTGCTTTTGACCACGCCCAAGCAAGGTGCTTCCAACGTGGCACATATCGAAATGAACCAACAGCATTTTCAGGAAATACACCCAGCAATCACAGAAACGCGTCATGTCCAATCTGTAGACTCTTCCGTTTCCCTGGAAACACAGCGAAGCAAACATGGTATCTCTTTTGATTTGTTTGATTTCAAGGTTTGCCAAAAAGTTGCAAACATCCTTTTGGTTGAAGGTGAGCCTGCTGTTCATGTTTGAACACCTCGGCATGTTTTGTTGAGGGTGCCCTTTTTGGTCGGTTTGAAGGGAACATATAACAGGCAACCGCCTTTTTGGCACTCGTCTCTATCCCTCCGATCACAAGCGGATTCGCTTTGCAGCTTCAGCTCGAAAATGGCAACTTTGTAGGTGCAAGTCTAGTACGCTCGAAAACGCGATTCCATACATTTCCCTGTGTGGGTACAAGTTGGACACGTGTAAGGGGCTTAAGTCAGCCCCTCGTTTGTCACAATTGAGGGGGTCAGGGAATTGGGAAACGATGGAACACAGATAAGGGCTAAATAAGTACACACATGTTTCTTCTGTGATCATGACGTTTTGGTTTTAACGTAACGCACAACCGCATTCCAATTATGTTGGCACTTGCAATGAGCCGTTGGTCAGAATTTGGGTGATCCCCGGCATCAAACCCTTCAATCACCCTTATAACCTAACTCACCAGCTTAAATTTGCCCCTTTCAATTTTCCTAACCTCAATTTGGGTTGCCCCTTCAATTTGCCCACCTCTCCCCCCCATCGCCCCAACAAGGCGGGGGGAGGGGGGGAAATCCTGTGCAGCTCGAGCTTCCGCCAAGCGGCGCTTCAAACGTCACAGGACATGGCCCGCGCCTTCCCGCTGAAGAGCGTGCCTAAGCTGGTGGCCGGTCAGGCGCGCAGTTGCCCGCAATGTGGGCATTGGCTTTATTTGGCTTTGTCCAAAAAACACAGGGGTGCCCTCCCCTTGTTTACTTGGCCAACCGAAGGGGCCAAGTCTTTGGCTTGGGGTCTCCTCCAAAACGGGTTTATATTTCAGGGTAGGTAAAAAATGAAGCCAAACGTGGGCGAAGTTGCGGGAAATGGGGTTTGGGAGTGAGTCATGGTGAAGTGGGACGAGTAGGTCTGTCACCTGCCACGCGTTACCGCACGTTCAAATGACATGAGGCCCGGTGTCCTGTCAGTTTCCCCACTGAGACAACAATGACGGAGGATGGGTGAGATTTCTGTGATGCCTTTGATTGGAGCGGGAATCAACCCTGTTGGTATCACAGAAAGAGGCCCATCTTCCGCAACCCCCCTGCAAAGGTTCTAACGACCCTAGCCATTTAGATCTGGTACATGTTGGATGGCCCCATCCACTAAGAGCCACACCATTTTAGCCAGCACTCCCCATTCAGGGATCATTCTCGGGAAACAATGGGCAGCTTCCGGGTGAAGAGATACAGTCTAGTATTTCAGTTTCGACTGGATATGGGGTTTCTCAGCATGTTGGCTCCCTTTTGGATGGTTTTAAAGGGACAGCAAATGGACACATTTTTTTTGGGTTCTCAACGTTCACCAGTGTTAGTTCTTGTTTGTCTGAAGCTGTGGCTATGAACTTTAACAGGGAGCATGCTGAAACATGCCTCGTGGACATAACAGATCCATGCATGTAAATGATGCCCATCAAAGGATAGCCAACGACATGTCATACCCATGTTTGAGACCATTGTACCATCGGTGTGCGGGGCCAAAGCCCAAGATGACAAAACGAGTGTCGCAACCAATATGCTCTGTTTACTGAAGCTTGTTTTAAGACTTGGGTGGTGGGGTTGGGGGGTGCCCTTTTTCAGCTTAATCTTTGAATGGACAGGGAGCCCCATGTGAGTCCAAATCCCTTAGACACAGTGAAGACTTGCGCGTCCAACTCCTGCCAGGCCAGGCTGAGACCAGTGGACCGAGAAGGCGGTCGAGAGACACCGGGGTGCCGAGTGTTGCTGAGGTCAGATATTGGGACTGTTTCCGTGTTTCCCTTGAACCGTTGTGTGATCTTTAGTGAAACCTAGTTAAGTAGAGGGTTCTACCTTGAAATTTGCGCTGCGGGTATCACGAGGACTATCGAATCCGTATCTCGGCAGCACCAAAAGTCAGTGGGATTTTGGGAATGAGTTTCTTTGATTGCGATTGCACAGGGTTTGTTGCATTTCCTTGCTTGGAGGATCAAGCGTTGCAGCTTCATGGACATTCAAAAGGATGGTCCTCGTAATTGTGTACCTTGGGGTGAAACTACAATCTCCGAACTCACTAGGGATGGTGTTGGACAACGTGAAGCCCTTTGGCAAACCATGATTTAGATTTTGCAGGGGGAGACTGTTTTTGAGGAACCAGCATAGTGTGTATGTGTCAGTGGCAAAGATACTCATTTCCCCAGTTTCGGGGGTGTTTCCTTTTGGACGGATTTTTGAACAGTGTCTCACACTATGGGAACCCTCAGAATGAGGGCTTTACTTTTGGCTTGCCTTCAACCTGCAAAACTGAGGTCCCCTCAAAAGTGGTACGGATAGACTGGCCTGGGCCACTCCAGTCATGTGAGAGCAACACAAAGCACAAAGGGACCCGAAGGCCGAAGGATCCGGTCCTTTTCAGACTCAAACTAGTTGTTGCTTCCAATTTTACCCTTTGGCTTTCTTCTTGGCGGTTCTCAGCCGTCCAGTTAGGTTTGGCCTGCAGGGTTCCGGTGGGGATTCCATTAAGCTACCAGCTAAACTTTTAGCAGAAGATCTGAGGATAGCCGACTTTTAGCCATCAGGTGTTTCTTGTTTTTGCGCGTCTAAGTTCAGATGAGGTCTCTGACGCTCATGGTTTGAGCCATAGTCATATGCACAGCAGGTGAAGTTCTATCCAATTGTCGCAGAGCCAAGGCGTGAAGTTGTGAAGAACATGTCCAGCTTTATGTTGTGATGGATGGTTTATACGCTTCTGAATTCCCCCCCATGCTAATTTATACCAAATGCCACGTGATCCTTGTGGTTTTTGGTAAACCCTGTTCCGTATCCCATGGGCCAATCATGTGACCTTTATTTTGGAGTTCTTGAGGCGTTTGCTTGTTGCCTTGGAGCCTTTTTCCCATCGAACCACTGCCAAATTGGCTTTCGGTAACCTTGTTTTACCCAGCATGTTTGTCCCACACCCAACCTAGAGGACAGAAGGGACAGAAGGGAGCAGGCTCCTATGATTGCCAAGGGACCCCCAAAGAGACAATATTACCCTAGTGGGCCCTTATTACCCGCTACTCTGGGGCCCTTGATCATAGGACATGAAACTCTTTGCAGCTTGCCCAGGCTGATGAAGCCCTTTTACAATTTTCGCTTTTGGGGGGGTTCCCTCATCGCATTTAGCCAACAAGTGAGAAGTTTTTTTCTCCGAATGAGGACCTTTTGCGGGCGGATTTTTCGGGCCAGTCTCAAAGCAAGCAAACCACTCAATGTGGGATCCTATGGGGTGCCCTGGAACTCGCTAGGCAGAGATGATGTGGCGGTGGAGCGGGGGCCTTTGTGGCCTAGGCTGCCTGGGTCTTCCATTCGCCTGCTCAGGTTTGTTGGCCTCCGGAGAAGAGAGACACGCTGAATCCGTCGTGCTGTGTTGGAGTTTGGACAATACCAGGTGATGTTGACCAAACAGATGAGGTCATGGTGATGGTTTTCTTTTCTTTTGGGGGATCGGGGCAGTTCTACGATGCAAAAGTCAGCCACCGGCAGTTTAAAGGAGCTCACCCATAGCTTGAGTCCAAATGTCCGGTTTGGGATTTGTAGTAATTGGCACACAGACCAATTTGGGCACCCCCTAAAATACAACTTTCCCAACCAGAAGGCCCTTTCGCCCCGGATCCAGCTCTCGAATGGTTTTGTACACCATGGACATGCACTCACTCAGAAATTGCCCCATTTTGTGTCATTGGAAGAGGAGTTCCAATGTTTCCCTTTGGTGGCTTACAACATCAACTTGTTGGGCCCCTGTGGCTTGATGTTCCTAGGGGAAATATGTTGAACCCTGTAGAAGATGACAGCTTTGGGTGTAGTCCCAGGGGGTGATACACAGACCTCGGCTCATCCCCCCCCCCCGCCCGCAAGCGGCTGACGTGAGGTTCACGGACCTTTGCCCGGATCTACGCTACTCCTTCCAGGTGGGCGCTCTTGACTGGACTGTTGAGCGTGTTCAAACGACTGCCCAGTTTTTTTCTTCAGCCGCCTCCAGTTAATTTGCCACGGGGCGCCGGGATCAGGGGATCCACCGGAACCTTGGCACCGCCCGCTCACCGATCGGATCGCCGTCAGCGCAACGGCCCGCCAGGTTCTGGCCCGGTATCCCACCGTGGGACCCAGAACATTCACTAAGGTCTACGAGGCCGGGGGTGCTCGTGCTTCTGTTGGCTTGCACTTCTTCCCGGTATTCTGTAGGAGAATACCTGGAATCTTTTGGAATCTTCATGAACCTTCAACAATGCATAGATTTGGGGACAGCAACTTTTTGGTTCCATTTGTCGTCGAGGGTCCACGTTTGTTGGCCTTTCCTTTTTTCAGCAGGCAAACAGGTTTTACCCGCCTTTTGACGCAGAAGCCTTCAGACAACACAGGCCCTTGACAGATTGAGCTTTGGGGACTCTTCCAGGTCCAACTGCATCCCTTGCACAGACGGCATGCAACATCCCAGTTGTGGAAGGCAACCAAAGGCTTTCCCTCTAATTTGGAGATGTGGTTTCCCTTTGTTTCCGGTGGCAACTGCAAGCACTGCGCAAGAGGCCGGGTTGGGAAGCAAGATGATTGGGCCCTGTTTTCTTGCCCTCATGACTTTTTGTGTGTATCCCTTGAGACAAATTTAGTGGCTGAAGCAGTCGCAGGATCCAGCACAGGCAATTTCCCTTGAAGTGTCCCTCCAAAACAGCCCACATATTTTTGCTTAATCCCCCACTTTCGGTTGGACATTTTGAGCTTCTTGCTCTTGTGCCGGCATGGGTTCCCTGAAAAGGGTTACCACCTCCCTCCACTCAGTGGATCCCAGCCAATAATCCGTAGCAGGCAACCAGCCATTCTTCTTTTGACCCCTTGGTTGCCTATGCGGGGAAATGGAATCCCTGGGCCAACGAAGACATCCGACTTGGTCAAGGCGCACAGATCCCATCTGCACAAAATCCCTCGCAGCCGCGCAGATGAACCAGCTCGCCCGAATGCCATCGGAGGCCACGACCCCAAGGTCGAGGAACATGGGGGCCTCTCAAAATGGGAATCGCTCCCCGGTCCCCTGAACGGTTGGTGTCCTTTGGTTGGCGCATCACTGGAGTGACTGCGGGTGTCCAGGGACCGAAAAGAGTTGGTTTCCGTTTTGCTTCTCTTCAGCTACCAACGAACCAACCCAGAACCTGATTATCAATAGGGGGTGTCTGATGTTTAAGTGGAAGCATTTACTTCTTTTGTCGGGCGGGCGGGGAGGTCGCCTGTCAATGGGGACGAGGTTGGGGAGCCGGGGAGCCGACCCTTGCAATAGAGTTGTCGGTCTAGCTGGTTGGGTTCTGGTCAGATTCCACTGACCCACTTGGCAAGGGGTTTGGTTTGCAGCCGAATGCGTATCATGGTTTGGTTCCTTTCTTGCAAAGTCCTTATCTTTTGTTAGTTGTGATTGACTGCAAGAGCACTTCATGCCCTTTCACCATACTGACCCCATGAGGCGTGGAAGCAAAGGGGCGGGGTATGCTCAAAAGGTATGTTGGAGGGTTACTGGGTTCAACCGTGTTGTTGAAGCGGGTGCGTTTTTTGGAGGAACCCTTAAAATGTGTTTTTACCAACCACAGAAAGGCGTACCCTCCAAAAGACACACCCAACTAGTTTGAAGCTTTGGTCAGCCAGCTCATGCCGAGGCCGGCGAGGCTGCCGAGGGAGAGGCTGGACATGTTGCGCCGTTTAAAAGAAGGGTCCAAATGTTGGACTCATTCCCAGACCAGCGGTCTCATACCTTTCTTTCTTTCGAGGGGGTGTCCCCGAGAGGTTTTGCCCTTCCCATGGCTGCTGGAGGTACTGAACACCACAAGACCCACCGACGCCAGGCCGTTGCGCCCCCAGTGCTGGTGCAGGCGCGGATTCTGACTCACGATCGAGGTTTTTGTTGGAGCCGTTGGGAGAAACCGGACCGACCATTTTCAGGGTCCGAGGGTGTCTTAAATGGTGGACCCTCTTTGGCTGGCACGTACCGGGAAACCAAAAGGAAACACATATGTCAGATCTTGAGGCTCTCCAATTCCTGTAACGAAATCTGTACCTGACCCTGCGACACGTGACCCTGCGAAAACTCTGAAAACATAGGAAGTGTTTCGCGCTAGCACCGCACTAGTACCGCGCTAGCAGGCAGTTGCCAACTTGAACACTGGGGCACGTGCCTTGTTGCAGGCAATACCCAAGAAGCCACTTGCACGTTTCTAGGCTGTAGTTGTAAGGCAGGTTACGTAAAACTATATGCCCGTAGGACGAAACAATTCCACTTTGTTACTTGCTGAAGATGTGCTGTAGAACATTGGGATGTCTTGTGTGTTCAAATATCCTATAGCAGCAGCTCTACAAGCTCGGATAGCTCATCCGACAGCAGCTCAGAAAAGGCCCGCGCTAGTGCGCCTGTCAGTATTTGTACGTTTCTTAGTCAACCCTATTGTGCCGCAGTGGTTACGTGCTCATATGGCCCAAATGATACGGTCCTCCATGGAATGGCGATTTACGCAAGAAATGGGAACCAACATTTTGACAACCCGCCACATATTTCAGGTACCACGATCTTGAGGCTTTCCCAATGTTTCTCAGTCCCTTGTCGATTTTTTCTGTATGTAAGTAAAGGGTTTCCAAACCCTTTAATATCCACAACGACCATGGATGCTTATCTACTACAGGGGTAATTGGGATCCACTGGGATCTCGAGACTTTTGCCCGGCCTTTTTGGTTTTGGAAACCCTAGGGTGTCCTTTTGTAGTTTTTTGGCCCGACTGGGTGTCTTTCAGTTTGCCTGGAACCAGCAACAAGTTAGGTAGCACTGTGCAAGTATATAATTGTCTGGGCAAATTGGTTCACGCACAGATTCTCGGGCGGCAAGTTCATAGGCTACTGTCATGATCCGCTGATTCACTAGGCGTCCCTTACAGAGCATGGGAAGTGCTACCAGCATCAGAAGGGGGAAACGAGCAATTCACCCCTGGAATTGGCTTGTAATTGCCCAGACTGGCGGCCGGCATGCAGGCTTTGGGGGCGTTTTCTCCACGCTTGTTCTTGCTCCTGAATTGTATCTTGTGCTGTGGCTGTGACAAACAAAAGAATTTGCCGTTGGGCCCAAAGAATGCTGCCGTCGCAAACCGGACCGAAAGGTGCCCCTGGAGGGCCAAGAGAAGGAGAAGATGCAGCGCTGGCTGCAGGACGAGGGGCGTTTGGCCCGGGAACCCGGGAACAACCTCACGGAAGCGCTCTGGCACGCCTTCTGTGGCCATGGACAAGAAAGCAACCCATTCTTTGGTAGCTGAATCAAGAGAAAAGCGACTCCAATCAAGAACGAATGAAGGACACCACTGGTCTGGAAACGGGGAGCGCATAGCCTTTCTCGGAGTTGAAAGGAAAACGCCTCAACAAACGAGCTAGAACACAGGCCACTGCTCTGATGCTCCGATTCTTGCGTGACTCAACCAAAAAATGGGAACTTGGTTTGGTGTCATTGGGCCCTGCTCTGAAAGAAGATGATCATGACTGGCAAAGATGGTTGCTTTGGGCAGTTCATTAGACGATCTGGGTGTTTCTCATAGTTAAAGACCCCTCCTGACTCCTGATGGTTGGTTTCCCTTTGGTGTTGGTTTTCCCTCTCCTTGTCCGCTTCCATGACCCAGAAGTTAGATGAAAGCAAATCAAGGGTCCGCATCTGGTACGATCATATAACTGCAAGCGTTACAAGCCACTTACCGGACGTATCCCGGCCACAAGCCTGGGCGTGTCTTTCTTTGCAGGGCACCCTCTTTGGTTTGAAAGAAAACACTGTCGCCATTTTTGAGACCCCCCCCCCTCGTCATGATTTTGGATACCCCCCCCTTTTTGAAACGGCTCCCGAGTTTTTTGGCCCCCGGCCAACTCGCCCGCAGGTACTCCTCACCTGGCCGGGCTTGGTGCCTGAAGCGGAGAACCCCCGGCAAGCCAGCGGCTCCCCCAGCCCATTGGGTTGGATTGGCGGTCCCCAAAGCGGCAGGTTCCTTTCGGCTTTTCAAAAGCCAAAAGGAAAAGCAACACACCCATTTGAACCCTTGGTTCTTCTGACTTGATGGGAAACCAGAGAACAAACCACGGAAGCTGAGGATGAAAAAAAGGAAGCAGGGCCCTCATTGTGTCAGCCAAGTGGCAGTCATTTGCCTTGCAATTTGGAGCCCAGAAACCGCCTTTTGCTCATCAAAATCTGAAAAAAGTACTTGGGCAAAAGCCGTCGTTGGGTGTTGCTGGTTGCTTGCCAAAATGGGTGGTTGAGATTCGGTCCACGAAACTGGGGGTTCTCCGACAGCTCTGGAGTCAGGTGCGGTTTGCCAGTGAGCGAATATGATCACACATAGCTCAGCCTCCAGGTCGCAAAGCAGCGTTGATCCAACTTGCGCGATACGGCAAAAGGAAAAGTTGGGAAAAGTTGGGAAGCCAAATGTTGTCCAAAACCTGGCTGATCCCAAAATTGGCTCAACTGGGGCGGAGGTTGTCCAGGGTTCGACACAGCAAGCCTTATAGGCGGCCAACTTCTTTTCAACTTCAGTTCGTCGATGCTTGGGGTTGTACTGTACGTGTTTGGTGCCCGGATCTCTTTGGCCACCCAGTACATTGTTTGGCTCGTTGGTTGCTTGGCTGGTTCCGAGGCGTCATGAAGCTGTCGGACAACTCCTCAGCCAGCAACAGGCAGTATGAGGCCCTTTCGAGTCGAAAGGGCCGCGTGAATGGTCGAGACAAGGACAGATTCGGCCGGGCAGCACCCTCCTTCCAACGGCTGTCCGCATGTCCAAAGCCCCAAGTCATTGGGAGGGTGCTGGGGAATGAGGGCTTATTTCCCCCTTTTGTGAAAACAGGAAACTTGCCCATTGAATGTTTGAAAGGCCTTCCTTCGATCATCACAACCCTGAAAAAACGAAACGCGGAAGTTACAGTACCTGTCACCCCGAATAGGTTTTAAGAAATGGGTTGTGGACCCCGTATGAATCCGTTCCGGACCCTAACACAAGCAGAATCAACACAGAAGCATATAATCAAGCAAAGAAACACTACCAACCCAAACCAGGCCAAGCCACGCTCCAAATGAATCACACGTCATCCTGTTCGCTGACCTGTTCGGTGGCGTGTTGGGTGGGGTTCATCACCCTCCAAGGGCTTCTTTTGTGGGACAAGTGAAGCACCCACCGAGCAGCCGGCTCTTGGTGCTGAGTGGGGATGGCTTTTGCAGCCTTGCTCCTATGGATCTCGGACATGGCTGGGGCGTCCCTGAGGCTAGCAGGAGTTCGGAGCCGATAGCATTTCTAACCCTAACAACTGGTTTACAAAACTGGCTGGCTCCAGTGAATCCCGAATCTACCAATCATGCCCTATGACGATCCCGTTTTAGGGAAACGGGGTGGGGTAGGGAGGCGGTTTGAATCTTATGATGGTGTGAATCCTAAGCCTAGACGCCTTACCAGGTAGCCTGGAGCTAACTAAGACAATCCCATTTTTCGGGGATTCCTGATTTGACATGTCTGTTGCAGCTGGTTTATGTCCTCTTCGGTTTCTTTCAACCTGAGACTACATAAGTTTGGAGGTTCCCTGGGACAAGTGGCCGCTAGGTGCAAGCCGCACGCTACTCGCCGGCCGGAGGCTCTCGAGCGTTTGGCTGGTTCCCGAACCCTCGAAGTTGGGCTGAACTCATTGACCCTTTGGTGGAGATCAGGATTTATGTCGAAGCAGTGAAAAGTGGGGGCTTCCAACTCTTCAAATCATAGCCGCTAATGAAGTGTGTGTCTAGGATCGGACGGGAAACTTGAATGTAAGTATCCGTTCCAAAGCGAGAACCTGCACCTTTGAGTTGCCTCACCTTCTCAGCGCCAGGAATTTTGCAGGATATTCACCCAACTTCCACCAAGTGCTAGGGTTTTGGCTATTAGCTTCCTGAACTTCCTGGCTCCTTTGGCTATCAAACCTGGGTGGTGTTTCTTGAGGTAAGTAGTGGGTTTGAACAGAGAGCCCAGTGGCACCCTTGTTTCCTGCTTTGGGGTGAGAGTGAGAGAAGGGATGGGCCACACATAACCAGGATGAGCGAGTGAAGTCAATGGTCCTTGTTCATGCTCCTCCAACCAAATGAGCCAACAGTGTGCAAAGACCCAACTGCGATTGTTTGACATGTCCGGCATCCTGAGCGAATGCAACAGCATTGTGGAAAGTCGTACACGATGAACTACTTTAAGTTTCCCAAGTCACGTTCTTCATAGCTGCAGCAAGGATTGTCTCGCTGCTGGAATCCAACCACTTGGCCTACAAGGCAAGATTCCACAGCAGCCACATCGGCTGCCACCCGCAGAACCGGGACGGATTCGGGCGCAGCTCCTCAGACGTCCACGAGCTGTTGGACGCCATTCTGGTCATCGGCTGGGATGATTCCCTTGGCCCACTTTGGTATCAAAGAACAAATCTTGTCCGCACTCACCGGTGCCAATGCTTAGCCATGGAGGTGCACAGCAGTGCTTTCGCGTTTGGGAACCGTTGTGTTGCCTTAGCCTCGAGCTGGTCGCAGCATTTGTAGCTTTTGTGGGCGCCAAGGGGAGTGACTCGCAAGGGGAGACCCTAGGTGTTTCCCACCCCATGCCTCAAACCCCGCAACAAACAACCCAAACGGATCAATTGGGACGTAAGTCAACTGAGACCCCTCGACCAGCGAGGACAAGCCATCCCTTGGTTCCATTGCTTGTTTTGCTTGATTGTTTGCTTGCTTGCTTGCTTGCTTGCTTGCTTGCTTGCTTGCTTGCTTGCTTGTGTGCTGGTTATTTGGATAATTTGCTTGGTTGATTGGCTGGATGATTCCTTGCTTGGTTGTTTGGTTGTTTGGTTGCTTGGTTTGATTTGATTTGATTTGATTGATTGATTGATTGATTGATTGATTGATTGATTGGTTGGTTGGTTGGTTGGTTGGTTGATTGGTGGATTGGTGGATTGGTTGATTAAACACTTTGTTTGTTTCCAATTTGGTTTGATTACTGTATATGTTTGTTTATTTGGTTGTTTGATTGATTTGATTGACTGACTGATTGATTGATTGATCGATTGATTGATTGATTGATGGATTGATTGATTGATTGATGGATCGATTAGTTCATTGACTTGATTGTTTTGATTGATTGATTTGATTTGAGTTGATTGACTGACTGATTTGATTGATTTGTTTGATTTGATTGATTGGTTGCTTGCTTGGTTGGTTGGTTGGTTGGTTGGTTGGTTGATTGATTTATTTATTTGATTTGATTTGATTGCTTTGATTGATTTCATTGATTTCATGGATTTCATTGATTTCATTGATTTGATTTGATTGATTGCTTGCTTGCTTGATTGCTTGCTTGCTTGCTTGATTGATTGATTGATTGATTGATTGATTGATTGATTGATTGATTGATTCATTGATTTATTGATTCATTGATTCATTGATGCATTGATGCATTGATTCATTGATTCATTGATTCATTGGTTCATTGATTCATGGATTCATTTATTTGTTTATTTATTTATTGATTTGAGTTGAGTTGAGTTGAGTTGAGTTGAGTTGAGTTGAGTTGAGTTGAGTTGAGTTGAGTTGAGTGAGTGAGTGAGTGAGTGAGTGATCGATTGAGTATTTGATTTGATTTGGTTTGGTTTGATTTGGCTTAGTTTGGTTTGTTTGATTCATATGGTTTCTTTGCTTGTTTGTGTGTGTCCCTCTCTCTCCTTCTCTCTCTGTCTCTCTCCAAGATAGGCGCTCTCAATGGAGCGGGGCCGGCAACCGGGCAACTGGTCAGGTGACGAGTGGGCGCCTTGCCCAGTGGTCTCCGCAGCGCGGGCGGGCCCAGCCACGAGATAGGCTCACGAGGTGGGTTGATCAGAAGGCCATGGGCCAGGGGTATTGGAGATCAGGGACCTCACCCATTACAAAAAGACCTGACCAAAACCCATCACCACGGCAAAAGCGTCAAGAACCCTCCCCCCCCCAGTTTAGGGGAAGGAACCCCAAATTTCCTCGCGGTCCCCCAGCCGTTCCCTTAGGTTTTTAGATTCTTAAGGTTTAGTGGGGTTTCCATTCAACCCATAAGTTAAACTTTTGGAAGGGGATTTGAGGACGGCCCGACGAACAACTCGCGCCGAGGTTCCCCTTCGAAGGCACGACCTGCGTGGCGGTGCGTTCATTGCCCTTCGCCATCGGCCAGCCACTCGTCGTTTTGGTCTCCAGATGTTGCCCCCCCCCCCCCATTTTGGACTTTGAATGGCGCCGCCTTTCCGGTGCAGAAAGGCTCGAAGCATTCCATAAAGCTTATGACAGGAAGTCACGAGTCACGAGTAACTCGACGTCCCCAGTGTTCTTCTCCCTGACCGGTGACCTGGCAGAAAAGTTGGCACCTTTTTTGGGGTTGACCATTGCGTTGCTACATCCCGAACGAGCGGAGGTCGATCACCTTTTGTTTGAGTCCAAAAGGTCCAAAACAGAGCCCTCTGAACTGGGCGCAAAGCCCAAGTCCAATTGCCCAAGCCTCCCGCTTTGCATTGGCTCCCTGAAGGCTGCATGTGGGGTTGTCTCAAAGATAGGGAATGCGTTTCCTCTTAAAACCAACTAAAAAGGGGTTCCCAAAAAAGAGCCACACTCTGGCTGCATGTTTTGTTTCTGTGAATGTGACGGAACTGGACCAACCAAGGGAAGCCTGGAGACCGAAACCAAGAGACGAACCCAGCGGAGCGAAAAGACGCCGTGGTCCGAGTTTCACTTTTTGGAGAGCCCAACCTGGGTAAAGTCGGTTTGAAGAGTCAGGCCCGAATCCCTCTTAAAGGGAAGCCCGAAGAAGGCAGCAGCCACTCAGGAATTGAGAACCTCGTGCTTTGCAGCGCCCAAAGATGACCAGAGCCACCACCCACAGAATCACACCCAAAAGACTCGATCCGAAATCCTATTTGACCTATCCTCAGGAACCCCAACCCTTGCCTCAAAAAGAAAGATGCAGTCTCACCACAGGACGTGCCTCCCTAAAAGGGCAAAGGTTTCCCTTGGGATTTCCATAAACCCCAAATGCACCAACTCACAAAAGGGCAGAGGGTCACCAATGAAGCCATGCTATGAATTTTGATGGTTAAAAGAACACAAGCTCCGATGTATTTCTGATGTTTGCATCTGACCAATCCGAGTTCATTTCAGAACATGCACATCGGATTTTCTCAAAATAGAGTACGGCGCCCCTACAACAGGCTGGGTTTCTTTTAGGGGCCCTTCAAAACACCGACCTGGGTGGCTTACTTTGCGGTTCACGTCGAAACAACAGCAAGATGGGTGGTTTGCTGCTGGTTCCCTTCAAAAGTCTTCAAACTCAGCACCTTCCCGGGTTGCTCCTTAAAGCAACCCACGAATGCGTGGTTTACTTTGGTGTCCGTTCGAAACAACACCAACACGGGTGGTTTGTTGTTGGTGTCCTTTCAAGACAGATGGGTGAATTACGTTGGTTTCGCTGTACACAAAACTAAGCCGGGGTAGTGTTGCGCAACCCAATATCCAACCGCCCATTTTGGTCTGTGAAGTTGGAGACCTGGAGTCTCCTTAGCCCTGCAAACATGGTGTATGCCCAAGATGAGGAGGTCAGGACCAACCGGGTCAGAAGGAGACTCCGGGCACATATTATCCGAGTAACTGTCCCATTCTGTCCAGGAATCCTGCTTGCCAGACACCCGCCAAAGACCCAGGTAAAATGGTTGGTTTGTGCAAAGAACAATGGTTGAACAAAATGGAAACGAATCCGAATCAACCCCTAGACATACTAAATGGACAAAATATCCACTCGCAGTACATAGTTTAGCCCAATACTCAAATCACACACCCAATCCGCACACCCAAGGTTTCGGCTCTTTGACCCCCAGACCATGCGGGCGGGGCCGGCCACGGCGCCGGGCCCCTGGCCCCCGTGACGAACAAATCAGCCGACTGGCGGGTTGACCGCGCGAGCGAAGCAAATGGGAGCCTGAAAGGGTGTTGGATGGTTGAGCCTTGTTGGATGTCTGAAAATATGTTGAAACTTTAAGATTGACTAAATATGATGCATTTGGACAATTGTTTTCTGGTGTACCCTGCTGGGCCAAGTTTAAGGAGCTCAATTTCCGTAGTTACCTTTTTGCTATCCCTTAATCATTACATGTTGGGCAAATGTGAGTGAGTTTCCTTGTGGGTGATGTGCAAGGGGCAAGTATAGTTTGTTTTGAAGGGGAGCTCCCCCCCAACTTCAGAATACAAAGCCAAGCTTTGGAGGAAGGGGAGCTTACACTGTGCTGCTTGGAAGATGTATTGTCAAAAGCATATTTGCGAGTTTCTCTTTACAACAACTATAAGGGGATGGATATTATCCCGGGATTTTAGCCCCCAGCCTTTTTTTGTTGCGGCCATAAACCGAAAGGCATGTTGGTCAATGAATACGTTTGAAGTTGGAACGAAAGGGGTCCCAGTCTGCCAGTGTCTCCTTTCCAGAACCTGAAAAGCAATTGGTGAAGCAGCATGGCGCGAGCAACGAGCAAAGATCGCGAGGTTTGGCATGGATCTGAGGCCTATCGTCACTGTCTACGAGCGCGTGGAGCCGCCAATTACAGAGATGTTGGCCCTGGGTCGACCGCCCAGGACAGCTCCCCGTACGAATGGGTCGGTGCCAGGCTGCCTGAATGGATCTGCTAAAAGATATGACTTGGTTCCCAGCAATGCCCAGAAAGACTATCTGAGACTTTTAGGTGTGTAGAGTTTCTACTTAAACATTTTGTGGGTGTGAATTTCTTGTTAAGGGCAACTTTTGAGTACGAATTCAATGAACTCAGTTTGCCATCCCCAAAGGAACCATGCAGAGTTCAGTTGTTCCGGACCTCGGGTTAAGGGCTCAAGACTTGTAGTATGTGTTCTGTGGCTCGGCTTCAAGGAAGTTCTGGGATGTGAGAAATGAGTTGAGACTCATCTTACAGGGTTCCACGAAACCAAACAGACACAATTCATTCAGATCACGACCTCCACCAACAGGAAACCGCCAATTCAGGGGTAATGTGCTTGGGCCTTTGGTGTGTCCTTAGCCCCCTAGATTTTTCGGGAAACAAGTGTCGTTTCCAACCTACGCAGGGTGATCGACCTTTTGCCCCGAGCAACCTTCGTGAGGTGGGAGGGTTGGAGCCGTCGCTTTTGGCTTTCAGGACCTTGGCGGTTCGCCTGCAGATCCCACTGGACATGCCAGAGGGCACCGGCAGCCGGGCAAGCCCAGCTCGCGAGGGCGGGAGTTCCATATCCCAGACCTCCTTTTGGCACCCGTGTTTCCTGGTTTAGGAGGCGCTCCCCTTTGAATCCAACTACCCCGAAAAGAGTGGCCTTTGATGGGGGTCTGGCGTATAGTAGGTAATTAAGCAGGGGACACCATGATGTAAAACATATAGGTAAGACACCCTAGTTGCCGGCTGTGGTACCCGGCAACGCGGAAGAAGGGGGGGCATGTTTGGACTGTTACTGGGGGTTATCAAAGTGACAAACCGGGGTTGTTTCCCTTGAGCCTACCACCTAGGACCTAGGGGGTGACCTTAATAAGATAATGGGCCCGGACAAAGCTGCACACAGGCCTATTTTCCTGAAAAGGAAGGGAAGCCCACAGGACACTTGGCAGGAGGAAGCCGCAGCCCCACCGAGCCAAGGGCCCCCGAAGCCAAAGACCAAGCGAGAATTCCTCGCAACTCACTTTACAACTTGTTTTTGAGTGAGGGCCGGTTTCTAAATCTTTACTTTATAGCCATCTAGAGCCAACTGTCAACAGGTTCGGCCGTTGGCTCATAGGAGAGCTCCATTCAAGCCCCCCAAGCCAGGGAAGAAACTTCCCATGAGGCTTGGGTGGGGACCATTCCCTATAAACCATTGCGAGGTGTCTTGAATGGACGATGCTGTAGACGATGGATCTGCAGTTTTGCTTTTTAGCCATCAGGGTGGAGCAGTCAGCTTCAGGCGCACCCATGCTAGTCGCTGTTTCAGCCGTGAGGTCGTGCCACCTCCTGCCAGATTCGATTCAGATCAATGGGCCTGGGGCTGAAAAGGGGGAACCCAGGGAGGTAAAAACAAAAAAGGTGTCTGAATTTCCCTTTGTGGGACCTTTGAGAAGGGAACATGCGGCGATGTCAAACTATACTTCCAGCTGCTTGCCGGGCCGAACCCTAACTTTTCCACTGCAACATTGCCTGAACCTGACCCAGTGCTTTCAGTGACCTACTAGATAATATCTAGTAATATAGTGGTATCTCCATTCCATCTAACTAGTATGATTGCGTTGGTGGGTTTCAGTATACTGAGTAGAAAATCATATTTCCCGTTACTTATAGTAGGTAGCCACTCAACAAGGGGGAAATCTGTGGTTACGTATTCGAGCGTCCCATTCAAGCCGAGCTTGGGATCACTTTTTCGGGGCAGTTCCTGTGGCTCAAATCGCGGGGGAGGGCACTTCGAAAGACCGACCAGCGATCGGAGTTTTGAGAGTTGGAACCTCAAAAGTGGCCACAAAATCCCCAAAAAGATGCCGTTTGTCAGATTCATTCATGGTGGTGGTTTTGAAGGGAACCTAGAGAGGTCCTTTGTGTTGAGAAGGGCCCATGTCGTCAGGGCTACTCCACTTTAGGAGATGCAGTTTGACCTGGAATTTAGAGGCTTTCTATGGGGTTCGACAGTAGGCGTCCAACTTGGTTCCCCCAGCTGCGTTTTGAACTTGTGAAGATCAATTTGGAAGGTACACAGGCGAGTTGTGGGCAAGGTGGGTTCCAATAAACACGCACAGACCCTTCATGTTTACGTTAAGGTGCTGTCCGCCTTGTTTTTCAGTAGGGGATCTGTTTGCGGAGGCACCGGGAGGGGCAACCCGGACAAGAGAAACCAGGCTATTGGATTTTTTGGGTTTATCGGTTTGTGGTAATATTGTCAGCTGCTCAGATCAGCTGTGACCTGACCATGTGCCTTGGCGATTCCCAGCCATACCTTTAAGACCTTTAGGCTTTTTCGAGACTAGAGGGGCTTGTGACTTATCCGACTAGTTTCCATTTAGCAAGGGATTCCAGAACTATAAGTTGGCCGTGTGTAAAAGTTAGCCCTTCCATTGTAGGGGTGTATAGCCTCGCTGCTCGTACCATGTGCAGCGGGGAATCCGTGAATCCACCCTCAAAGGGCATCCTTGGCTGCACCGATATCCATCAGCAATGCGGGCAATTTGGAGCCACGGCCTGTCCTGTTTTGGTTCTGTGTGTGTGTGTGTTGGTTGTTGCGGTTGATGCGTTGTTGGCTAAACCTGGGATCTCCTTTGAAATGCGTTGCATGTAAAGATTCACTATGGACCAGATTCAAACATGTTGTTTGCGGCGCAAAAGCTAAGGTAGGAAGATCATGTTGATCCAGCCGCAAGTGAATACATGCGTATGTGGCACTGTTGCTGCTTGAACGAAGATGGAAGTGTCTTTAAATTGGGTGGTTTACTATTGATTTCCGATTAAACCAACCCCACAGAAAGATCCCTCATAGGGCCATTCGGAAGCTTCAAGTGTGCCGCCTCCGCGCCTTCAAATGGTACTCTGGGCATCCGCCTAGATTAACCATCTACCTACCTACATACATACATACATACATACATACATACATACATACAGACGTACGCACATACACACAGACGTACGTACGTACGTACGTACGTACGTACGTACATACATACATACATACATACCTACATACCTACATACCTACATACCTACATACCTACATACATACATACATACATACATACATACATACATACATACATACATACATACATACATACATACACACACACACATACATATCACACACACACATGCATAATTACGTGACATGATGTTACATGACACTACATTGGTTTGCCTCACCTCACCTCACCTTACATACATTCAGAAATCCACACATGCATGCATACGTACATGCATGCATGCATGCATACTTAAATACGTATATACTTACACGTTACATGCGTACAACGTTGCATACTTACATGCTTACCTGCTTACATATTTACGTATTGCCATAGATTCATGCATGTATGCATACACACATACTCACATGCACACATTCACACATACACACAACCCACCTGCCTACATACATACATACATGAATACATACACAGACGGACAGACAGACGTGCATGCGTGCGTGCGTGCATATATACATCACATATGCATGTGGCATAATATGGTTTTCATATTGTTATGTATATTTGTATAGCTTTCAGATGCCCGCATGACACGCAAGGGCTACCCGCCACGCACACAACCGGTGAGGTCGGGACGAGGATGCCTCGCAGTGGGAGGCGGCCGATGCGGTCCCCGTGCCCCCAAAAAGGCTTGTACATGGAGAGGGCTCCTTTCTGGGTCAACGTTTGCTGCCAGTTTTGTGTGCAAATTCTAGCGACGCCACTTTCCGGCATGGGGGTGGACCTCGCCCAGCATGAAAGTTTCTTTCATAGAGATGGGATAAATATGTTCGGCAGTTCGGCTTGGGTTTATTCTAATTTGCCAGATCTTGTATCTTTGCCCTATACTAAGATGGGTTCAGGGTTGAACGTTGGCCAAATCAAACGATGCAACAACGTGTCAACCAAAAGGGTTCAGTGGGTCAGTACAGGGCTCGGTCTGGACTTACCAAGTTCCTGAGTTCCTGGACTGAGGAAGTGGGTGCAATAACTTGTCCTTGCCCCCTCATTTTGGATCCAAGGAAGTTCTGATTCGGATGTGTCCCTGGGATATGATCATGGTTTTGTCATTATTATTGTTTAAGGTGCCATTTTGCAATTATAAGGAAACCGTTCTCTGCTCTTTTTGGGGGGAGAGTTCGGATAACACGAGTTACGTTTTGAGGTTTTTAGTTTGTTTAGTGGTTGGGTTTCCATTTAACCCACAAGCTAAACATATAGCAGGGCATCTGCGATCCGAGTCACTCAGAGATTGGATCGGACCCGGGCACCGCCCCACCAGGAGCTGGCGGCCCAGAGTTTGCACGGCCAGGAGCGGCCGGTTTTTGGGCATGTCCGACGGTCGAGAAGCACATGTGGCTGGCAAAGCTAGGTTGCCCGTGTTAGGTGTTGCTGGTCGGTGTTCTGGTTGCTTGCTTGCTTGCTTGCTTGCTTGGATGGTTTGGGGGGGGGGGGGGGGGCAAGGCGCAAAGGCTTTGCCAGGGAACCAAATGGGGGCAATCACCCAATGACCCAATGTGTGCTTAAAGTGCTCAATGGGGTTAGGGCTGGTCAAGAAACTCCAGGGGATATGGGGAAGAAGGTCACCTCGTTTCAATTGATTTGGGTGGTGTGTGTGTGGGTGCGTGCGCGTGCACGTGCGCGTGCACGTGTGCGCGTGTGCGCGTGTGCGCGTGTGCGTGTCTCTGTGTGTCTCTGTGTGTCTCTGTGTGTCTGTGTGTGTCTGTGTGTCTCTGCGTGTCTGTGTGTCTGAGTGTCTGAGTGTCTGTGTGTGTGTGTGTGTTTTTGCTTGTTTGTTTGTTTGTTTGTTTGTTTGTTTGTTTGTGTGTGTCTGTGTGTGTGTTTGTGTGTCTGTGTGTGTGTGTGTGTGTGTTTGTTTGCTTGCTTGTTTGTTTGTTTGTTTGTTTGTTTGTTTGTTTGTGTGTGTTTGTGTGTGTGTTTGTGTGTTTGTGTGTTTGTGTGTGTGTGTTGACCAACTACCCTTTCTCCCACTCACATAGCACCTGACAGGCCCGCTCCAGGAATTTTATTTTTCAGGTGCCCTCCCACAGGTGCCATGTTGGAAGGGAGGGAGTTTTGTAAGATCTTCTGCCTGCGCACATGGGAACTACCGCGTAGAATTCCGCAGCTGTAGGCACTCAGCCCGAAGGCCCGAGTAATGTCAATTTTGAGGCTATCCTAAATGGGGTTTCCTTTAGGGAAGCCAGTTTCGGGGCCACCTAGTTGCAGCCAAACAGAGTCTCGGAGTAGTCCGTCAGAACACTGTCGACAGCCCGGCAGGGGGACTTGTGCGCCAGGCTCAGCTTGAGAGACGTGAGAGAGCGGCAACTTCCATTTCAACCGTGGGTACGACCTCAGTGAAGGATCCCTGGAAATTATCATGTTGAGAAATCCTGGGACGCACCTTTCGGGTGGTTTCCCTTGAAACCAAAAAACATGGAGGCAACATGTAAGGATGTCTTGGGTCTCTCAAGACTCACCGAGGCACGCCTGCCAGCATTCTGGTTCGGGAAGAAGACGGGCCGTGGCCCGAGCGCGAAACGCGGGGGAAGGGCAGTCGATGGCACGCTGGAGAAGCAGGAACAAAGATTGTTGCGTGGGGCTCATACTGTGGATGGACACAAAACGGTGGGATGGATGAAGCCCAGAAATACTTGGACCAACTGGTGCAGGATTTTGTGCTCCAAAAGTAGCGTTTCCAGACTGAAAAGACACATTGCATAGCTTTTGCCCTTTGGGGGTTTTCTTAAACCATTGAACAGCTTAAGTTTGGATGGCCATGCATTTGAATAGTCGGATTATCCTTGAGCATGTCTAGCCTTTTTGCCTTCCAGGGAGCTTTTATTCTGAGGGAATGACATGGTTCCTCAGCATATTGGGGATGAGAACTCGTATCAGGTTGTCAGTGCTGCGCTATTGCGACTCAAGGGTTGGGAAGTAGGTTTGGCGTCCTTCGGCTTCAGATCATCAGAAAAGAATCTGCCCTTGTGATTGGGCCAAGTGGGAACAAACCTGTGGGTCGTTTGCAACGTGACCGAGTACAGCAGTACAGCTAGGCCGTTTTCAGAGTTGTATGGATTTCCTTTCCAGGGCCAACTGCTCTCTGGACTGGGTTTGACATCACCAAAAAAAACAACGGGCGGATCACCCTTTGTTTTATCATTTGTGTCTAGTACTGAATACTGGCCGTCTTTTTGGCCGTTTTCAGGGGTCAGGCTTCTCCTTTCGATGTTTGTTTTGGCTTCGCTGAAGGTTTTGGCCTTGACAGGCTGGAGCTTGGCCACGTCTACGAGTTCCAGGTGCGCATCGGCGATGGCTGCCGCAGCGGCAACTGGTCGCCGGCTTAGGAACGTTCACAGGTTGAGTGCCAAAAGATACAAGGAGCTGAATACCACAAATTGGTCCCTTAGCAAAAAATAGTTTCGGTTTAAATTGCCGCGCAACTCCATTCCATTTGTTTAGGCGACCAGGAACATGGCGGTGACGGAATTCCCTTGATCAAGTACTCATGCGATTCCCAAGGAATTCCGAGAAAAGGGTCCGGGGGGGTCCCTGGTTTGTGGAATTCCGTTCTTCCACCGGAACTGACCTTCACTTCGGAGGCGCGTTCAACAGGGGCAACATTTGAGACCGGTCCATGCGTGTCTCACCCCAAGTTTCTGGGCAGATTCCCTTAAGAGTCATTCCAACAAAAGGGGCAGCAAGGCCTCTAATTTCCTCCGTGGCCACTTGTTGTTGTTGGTTGGTTGGTTGGTTGGTTGGTTGGTTGGTTGGTTGGTTGGTTGGTTGGTTGGTTGGTTGGTTGGTTGGTTGGTTGGTTGGTTGGTTGGTTGGTTGGTTGGTTGGGGTTTGGCTGGGTTTGGTTGGGTTTGGTTTGGTTGGGTTTGGTTGGGTTTGGTTGGCTTTGGTTGGGTTTGGTTGGCTTTGGTTGGGTTTGGTTGGCTTTGGTTGGGTTTGGTTGGGTTTGGAGTTGGGTTTGGTTGGCTTTGGTTGGCTGTAATTGGGTTTGGTTGGGTTTGGTTGGCTTTGGTTGGGTTTGGTTGGGCTTGTTTGGGGTTGGGTTTGGTTGGGGTTTGGTTGGGTTGGGTTGGGTTGGGTTGGGTTGGGTTGGTTGGTTGGTTGGTTGGTTGGTTGGGTTTTGTGTGTGTGTGTGTGTGTGTGTGTTGGTGGTTGTTGGTGTGTGTTGGTGTGTGTTGGCGTGGTTGTTGTTGTTGTGGTTGTGGTTGTG